TTTTAAAAAAACAACATTCAAACAGATTGCGTTATAATATAAGCAATTATAATTAAAATCTAGTATTTAATTAATTATTTTTATAATTTATTATACCTAACTGAAATCTAAATGGGCATGAAATTGGTGAATTCTTGTAAATTTTTTTTAAAAAAAGAGAGAATATTTTAATATTTTATATTTTATAAAAATAATAAGCGAAAATACTAAAAAAAAAAAGAAAACCTGCAAGAATTCACCAATATTCCAATTTTAGAGAATTTAAACCCAAAAAATTATTGAACTATTTACCTTAAACACATTGATTTATACAATTGAGATTCACACCACATTAAAAATTACATTTTTGGATGCTATAAAAAAAATTACCGTTTTGAAATGGGTACCAAGGTGTCAATTATTTTATTATAATTACTCAGAGATCATTATCCCTATGTGTAACATATGCATGTGCTAGATAGTCTATTTTTATTAGAAGTTTTCTCATTGCGTGTATTTTGAATTTTTATATATTACTCACTCCGTTCAAAAATATAAGATATTTTTTAATAAATTATATGTTAAAAAATATAAAATATTTTTAGTCTTTCGAGGTGTAATTATTGTCTATTTTTCAAAAGTATCCCTATTAATAATGACTTTATATTTATTGTAAAGTATTTAATAGGAATAAATATAAAAAGATAGAGTTAATTTGAAAATAGGTAACTATTTTATTGGGGTGAGATTCAGTTAAAAATGCCTTACATTTTTTAATAGAGGGAATAACACTTTTTTGAAAGGAAAATCACCTCAAACAAGAATTTGACCATCTAAGAGATGAATGTGTGATGCTAGTTCACCAAAAAAGAAAAACAATTACAACACACAGTCACACACATATATAATGCAACCTGTTTTTTGCATTTTAAGGAGAAAATTATCATAAGGTAATAATTTAGAAACAAATGTTATGAGCTTATGAGTTAGAAAACAAAGAGAATAGGACATGTGTGAAAATCTTGGCTAGGAATGCATTAATTACTTAATGGGGCAAAAAAACTGAAAATGGATCTGTCTGTTAATTTATACAATTTTAGTCACAGCAAGAGTTGAAAAATGTGATCATGCTATGGTGATGATCATCCAAAAGCGGCTTTGCTTGTGCTTGTAGTAATCAATTCAAACTTTAATTGAATCCTTAAAGCCTTAAGCTTTAGAGACAAACCCTAAAGCAAAGGAGACTTTTAAACTCCCTTTGTTGTATCATCATAATCTAACTGAAGCATAACATATAATCTCCTTGTACCTTTTTTTTCTTTTTCTTTTTCTTTTTTTATAACCAAAGACCTTAAATCAGGTCTTGGCACTAGGCATGTCCTTATTCAATAAACATAAAAGACAATTAGATGGTAAACTAATAGTATAAAAACCGTGCTCCATACTAGAGCTTGTTGAGCAAGATGGTGGGTAGCTGCGTTTGCAGTATGCAGGAGGTGTGAAAGTTGCAAGGTCCAGTCTCGCCTCCTAAGATTACAAATCTCTGCTATAATGTCTTTATTAGGATGAGCACTAATGTCTTTGCATGAACTTAATCTGATAGCTTTCGTGGACTCTGATTGGAGTTTCACCTTTCAAAAGCTTGCCTCCCAAACTAAGCGTAGGCCATGGAGAGTTCCCAAGAGTTCTACCAAAAGACTGTTTCCTTGGTTCATACTATGGATAAATCCAACCAGAAAATTTCTTGTGTGGTCCCTAACTACCCCTCCACATCATAGCTTCCTTGTTGTGTGGGAGTAAGCTCCATCAACATAAATTGAGATCCAATCATGCTCTGGTGGAGTCCACATCTAACAATTATCACCAAGAATTGCCCCGCTCTAATTCATTCCCGATGCCTTTCTTCTAACAATGGTCAAAGACTTATAAATACCATTGGCTTCTACCCAAAAGGCTTCGTTAAACTTGAAATTTCCTTCAAAAACTCTTTCATTTCTCCTCTTCCAGATAAGCTAGCACAAAGTAGTGAAAAATGCTGGCCAATCCATAACAGCACTGTTACCGTCCTACTTAAGGATGCACTTGATCCAATCTTCTTCCATGAGGTTAAAGAAATCATCTTGGTTCTCTAGGTCCACTACGTCAGTCCAAAGAGACTTTGAGCTAGGACAATCTCGTAAAACATGAATAATATCCTCCCTCACAACATTACACCATGTGCATGTTTCTTCTGATGTCATTCCTTATCTTTTCCTTACTTCATTAGTAAGAAGCATGTCATGCATATCAAGCCATATAAAGGTTTTACAATGTTAGGGCACGTGGAGCTTCCAGATTCCTTCCCATATATGATCATTACCAACTAAAAATTTAAAAACTTCCTTATATGCAGACTTGACTGAGAATTCCCCATTTCTGTCATGTCTCTGTCTTAAGGTTCACCTTCTATTAATGATTTCAATACCTGATTTCACATCCTCTCACGTAGCCTTGATCCCAGATTAAACATTTTATCCAGATCGCTTCATATTAATACATGGTATTAGATCATGCCCACACTTATACTTTTCTTTAACAACACCAACACAAAACTCATCCTTTCATTGAACCAAGCTCCAACCTATTTTCATGAGTAAAGTATGATTATGGTTCCTAGCATGTCTTAATCTAAGACTACCAGTTGATTTCGGTTGGCACACTTTCTCCCAAGCAACCAAGTTTGCTTTCCTCTTAATATCTGTAGTACCCCAAAGGAAGTTGCGATTCTGTTGGTCAAGCGCCTCACAAGTACTTACCAGAAGGAGGGCTGTTTACATGACATAAGCTAGTATTGCCGATGTAGTTGATGTTATAAGAGTATGATGCCCAGTATGAGACAAGTTATCAACCTTCCATTGAGATAGTCTTCTTTTAACTTTATCCACCATATCGATAAAAGATTCTTTCCCAACTCTCTTGTGGTAAAGCGGGACCCCGAGATATCTGCCAAGGTCAGCTGTACGTGTAAATCCCAGAAGGTTGCTTATCTCCTCACATTGAGTGTTATGCACATTCCTCAAAAAGAAGATTCTAGTCTTGGTATCATTTATCTTCATGCCAAAGCTTGCACAAAAATTGCGAAGACATTCCTTCAAAGTAACTGCTTGGTTCACAGAAGCTTCGACAAATAGCAAGATATCATTAGCAAAACACAGATGAGAGATAGGGGCCGTTCTTACCAAAGCGAATTGGGAGCTACCGTTTCACATTACATAACATCTATATGAGATAAGACAACTTCTCCATGCTTAACACAAAAAGTAAGGTGATAAGGGGTCACCCTGTCATACTCCTCTGCCAGGAATAAAAGACTCAGCACGACTGCCGTTCCATAAGATCTGCATATCAGCTAAAGAGATAGAGCTCTTTTTCACTTCAGAAATGTAAGAGGTATATTTAGCTCCCTGAGACAGTCCATGGTGAATTGCCAGTTAAGCCTATCATAGGATTTTTCAAGATCTATTTTAATAGCCATGAAACTTTTCCTCCCCTTCATAATATGCATAGAATGGATAACCTCTTGAGCTACAATAATGTTATCCGCACTATGTCGCCCAGGTATGAAACTGCATTGATATAGAGAGACAATCTTTGAGAGTATGGTTCTTAACCTGTAAGCAATATCCTTGGTAACAACTTTAAAAAATGACATTGCATAGACTGATAGGGTGTAGGTCCCTTATAGACTCGGGGTGCTCCTTTTTTGAAATAAGCACAAGGAAGATTTTATCTCTCAGAGTTTTTCAAGAAATTCAAAGAGCTCTTTAACAAGTTTAACCATCTAGGACCCCACAGTTTTCCATTGACTTTGGTAAAAAATAGGACCAAGCCTATCCGATCTTAGTGATTTGATTGCACCCATTCCAAAAACCGCTTCCTTTATTTCTTCATCTCCCACTGACTTCTCGATAGCTAACAGCTCCATAGAATTTATTTTTAGGTACATCACATTACATTGAATATTTCTTCTCTTTACCTCCTCCTCTAAGAAAAGGTTCTCAAAGAAGGAGGTTGTCATAGCTTTTAGTGTTTGACTGTCGTATATCCACTCTCTATCATCACCCTTTAAAGCACTGATTCTATTAGCTTTCCTGTGTCTATTGGCCTTTGTATGAAATTACTTTGTATTTTTATCTTCATACAAGAACCAATTAGACTTAGACTTCTGAGCCTATAATAAATTTTTTTGTAGCATAATATCTTCTAATTCAATCCACAGACTTCTTTGTAAATCTTCCAACTCTTTAAACTTATTACCTCAGCTTAGCGCTTTATTCAGCCCATCAATTCTTTGTAAAAGAGTTTTCTTCCTTGTGTTTAAATTCCCATACACCTTTATGTTCCAGATACTGCAATCATGAGTGAATTTGGATATTCCATCATTCCATCTCTCGCCCAGTTTTGCACAAACTATTCAAACTTGTCATGCAAAACCCGTGATGCAATGAAATGAAAAGGCCTATAAACTCTTTCTTCCATACTTGATTCAAGATTAGAAGAATGAGACGATGATCTGACTTTAAAAATGTGAGATGGGTCGGTGAAGCATCCAAAAATAAACTGACCCAGCTCTCATTTGCCAAAGCCCAATTGAGTCTACTTTTGCTCTCACCCCATTACCATGTGAACTCTGGTCCAATAAAACCGAGATCATGAAGTCCTTCCTTCTCAACCTAGCTACAAAAGTCCAGGTCACTACGAATTCTCCCACTAGAATGAGATCATCTTTCACAATGAATTAAGGTAGCATTAAAGTCACCTGCAAGGCACCAGGGGCCATTAATGCCCTCTCCAATCCTAGATAGTTCCCCCCATATACTCCTACAAACCATCACATTTAGACTAGCATACACAATGGTCAACCACCAAGTAGTCTTACCCGGGCTATCTATACTGAGATGAACATATTGTTGATGAGTTTTAATAGCGCGCACCTTCAATACATCATTCCTCCAAAGATACCAAATGCCACCACTATAGCCTTAAGCATCAACAATACCAAAACTATCAAAACCCAGACCAGCAGCTATCTTCTTAGCCTTATCACCACTGCAACGTGTTTCCATAATAGCAAGAAAGTCCACCTTGTAAAACCTTTTTAACTTACTTATGAGGCTAGGGACGGTTTTTGACCCTGTACCCCTTAAGTTCCAGATCATGTAATTCATGTGTACACTTGAAGGTTGTTTAGGCTAGAACCCCCTATAATATCCTCCAAGACTATATCCACAGACTGGGTTTCTCTTATTTCTTTTGAATTTTTCGACTCTAAACCACTTTGTGTGGCCAAATTACTCATGTCAAGGTCTTTGTAATCATTTACGAGTCCTTTCTCTATGTTGGGTGGCCCAACAACCATCTGGTCACTGTCATCAACCTCCACAGTCAGCTTGGTTTGATGGCAATGATTTTCTAGAGATGAATTTGGCCCAATGTCAAGTATTGAAAATGGATTAAAGCCCATTATGTTGCTAATATTACTGATGGGACCTTTATCTTGTCCATTTGTCGTACCCTTGCGCCTTCCTACGGGTATATTCTCTTTACCCTTGAATTTCCTTTTTGGTCTCCCTTTCTGTAAGTCTCGCACAGGGACCCAGTCGCTTGCGTTATTTTATTAACTCCCTTGAAGGATCGAGGAAGGATCCTCTTGTTTACTGGGTTAATTCCTGCCTCCTTAGTTGTCTCAATAATGTTCTTCAAATCCCGTGACTTCACGCTTCCAGATGCTCCCCCGAATCCTCCTATTGATTCTCCCTTCTTCATATCCTTCAAACACCTCCTACTTTTTCGCTCAAGATATCCATCCCTACCAAATCTTTCCCATTCACTCTTCTGCAAATATCACACTTGACCAGATTACTTGCACTGAACATTGGTCTTAGCTTTGGCATTTTTTTGACAGTAACCTCCTCCGCCGTGTACGGTGCCTCCTTAGTTTGTCTTGGGTTGATTACCATATCTGACCCTATCGTGCTGCTTCCGTCCTTTCCCATTTTGTCTTCACATACTTGATCTTTAGCCTTTTTCCCTATTGTTTCAGTCAGATTCGTGCAAACTTTCTCCAAGCATTGACCCTCATAACGGCCATAAACACCACAACAGAAGCAAACCATGTGCAGTCCCTCATACTCTATGTGAATATCCTCGCCAAAAGCAACAAACGACGATAGTAGTGGCTGGTCCAGGTCAAGTTCAACACAGATTCTCGCAAAGCCACCCTTGTCATGTAATGAAGTAGATAAATCTAACTTAATGGTCTTACCCACCATATTTCCAATATGCCTTAATGCTTCCACACTATAGAACTCGACAGGTAAATCTAGAATTCTTATCCAAGCAACAATGCATCCCTGAGTATCTGCCTTCGACATGTTAAAATTTAGCCTCCACTTTTGAATGAGAAGGTAATGGTCATCCATCATCCATGGACCTTCCTGATATGCATGGTCCCACACCTCCTTAGACGTGAAGGAAACAATGAAATATCCATTGTTGAGAACCATAACATTTATCGGCTCTGTAGTTCTCCACATTCTTTGAAGTCGTGTTTTTAACAATGCCCTCGTGATCGGTTTGCCCAGTAATTTCACGATCAACGAATTCATCCACAGCATGCACCACGCTTCATATTCTTCAGCTGTAAACTGCATTGTTGGTTTCTGTTGAGCCCCTTTCTCGCCTTCGTCTTCCTCTGTCTCACGTCCATCGTACTTTTCCTTCTCCTTCTTCTTCGAAGCATTAACAGCAGCGAATAACCCCTTCCACCCATTTGCCATATCACTGTCCTTGTCACTACGTGATAAGAAACCACTCATGTTCAAGCTAAATAAAGAATCCTTGTACGACACAGGTTTCTTGTGGCTATCTTTTTTCACCTCCTCGTCTCCCTTGCCTTTCGCAGAGAATTGGAACCTAATGGCGGATCACTCCAAAGGCCCCTACTCAGACCACCTCCACCATTCGGATCACCTCCACTGCCTCCGCTCCCACTGCTGACGCCACCAACTGTCTCACTTCCGTTACCTCTGGAATCTCCGCTCATGGCTAATTCGCTTTCCCCTAGGTTCTACGTGTATACGACGTCTTTCTTCCGCCACTGTGTTTGTTTGTACTCCTTTTAGTTCTGACCCTTTTTCTTTCTCTAATGATAGGTGAACAAGATAGTCCATAGATATCACTATTTTTCGCTGTATTTATGGGGACAAGTGCGCTATATAATGAGGAAGGATTGACCCCCCATGTTCTTCATTCCCACTAGAAGGCGCTGTTCGTCTATCTGCATTGGCAAAAGAGAAACCGAGCACTCCTGTTCTCTCATTCCATCCCAGGATCTTATCAATTTGCCCTAATTAAATGCGGTATTTTGTGAAACTGAATGCTTGGTTGCTACTATCCATTTTCCGATTTTGGTATATGTGGAAATTTTTTCCAGTTTCCCCCTGCTGATGCTCGCATTTAAAAAAAAAAAAAAAAAAAACTACTGTCAACAAAAGAAATATCATCGTATTGTGCTTCGATGCAATTTAGTGCTTGATAAAGACTAGTTCTCTGAAAATGAAAGTGTTGGCAAATGATGATCGAAATTCATCATGGGATATATTATCAAAGAGTTTGGTAAGGGTAATAGTGGCATTCATTCTGCTACCCTTCATTAGTATTTAAACCATGAACCCCTACCTCTATGCTTTACTTTCGCTTTCGTTTCCCACATGGTAGATAAAGTGTCAGGGTTTTTTTGTCTGTTTCTTCATCGTTAGAACTCAGAGCCTTGTCTAAATTAATCTGGTTTCCGACAGAGTACTTGTATTACTATCACGTAACACACACACAACAACCATAGTCAAATTGTTGTATCGTCTAGGGGAAGAAATTATGATAGGATCTTGACAGGTTCAGTTGTAATAAATTAAGCAAATTAGGTCAATTCACAACGGGGGTGTGGGGAAGGGCGTACTGATAGTGCTCTCCACTGGGTTTCTTACAACCATGGCCAGGGCCCAGGGTAGCAAAGCAGGAGGAATGACTAAAACGGGAATGAAATGAAAGGCGGTTTCAGGCTTTGGAGTGAGTGCAGTAGCCCACAGCTGAAATAATGCGTCCTGTATTCGGCCCCAGGATTAATATGATCACAATGGTGATGTGACGTCCAATACTAGAAAGGGCCAATCGAACATGTACATGTTTAGAAAGAATGAAACAAAAAGAGAAAGATGCACGAAGATCCAAAAAGAATAAAGGAAAATTCCAAGTGCTAGCCGAAAAATGGGGCCATAGAAGATATTGGAGCAGCATGCCCACAAGAGTATATTGTATATAGCAATCTAGGGATTCTCCAAAGTAAAAAATGTAAAAGATGAAGATACTGTTCTGCTCTACTTTCCTGGATTCTGTGTATATACTATTCACCTGTCAGACAAAAGACCAGTTGATGAACATGAAACAAATGCAATGGGCCGTTTCTTCTTCGTTCAATACTTTCCATGCAACTGCTCTCTCATAAGACACTGGCCTTCCCATGCTGGATAAGCAGATGCCTCCTTGCATGCACATAAAGCCCTGCATCAAAACAACACCTGTTTAGAAAGCGAAAGGCCACTACTTGGAATAACACTTCCTTCTTAGGAATTCAAATAATTCTACAATATAATGTAAAAGAAAGAATGAAACAAGATGGGAAGAGACACTAATTTAGCAGAATGGGAAGACGAGCAGAATAGAAAGAGCCACTAATAAGAATGTTTTTGATGCTGGACAAGTTCTTTATGGCTTATTAACATGCCCTGTCAAGGAGTCCAATTTATTCGCAAAGAAAATTTCATCATTTAATATGCATTAAGGACAGGGAAGTAGAACTTTTTGCATGCTTCAAATAACATGAGCATAAAAACACACACACAATTTCTTTAAAAGCTCCTGGTAACACGTTCTTTCATTACTTCCACGATTGAGTATTTGATTTAGCCACTTCACTTGACCATTCAAGACATCTGGGTTGGCATTTCTTATAACTCTCTTCTCAATTTCAGGTGGCCTCAAGACTACTCCCTAAATACTCTTCATAAGACCACTAATCTGTCTGATAGTAATTTCTTTTTACAACTTTAGGGAAAGTAGACACTTACTAATGATACTTCATGCTCAATTTACGGTTATTTATCTTAAAATGTACTTAAAAAATAAAAAAGAATGATGTCCTCTTGGTTTTGGAAAAAATAAAGGGAAAAAGATCGTTTGAGGCATAAGATTCTCACATGTTCCAGATTTTCATTTCCTGTTTCAGATCTAAATGGATGTTTAATTTTCTGGAGTCTTACGGGAAGCATCGTACCTGCTGCATTATCTGGGGGAACTCAGAGAACAGGGCTTTCTTCCCATTCTCGTCAAAAACTTTATCGAGAGTTATGTCTTGAAGTGCAACCAAGGTTGTCTCAAGCATGTCGAGTCCAGCTTGATTTGCGAATGTGAAAACTGGCGAAGCCTGGAAAAGTCATGGTAAGTTATGCAGTCTCTTACAAATTGACATACTCAAAGATACCAACAGGAAGCAAGTAACAACATGGAGATGGTAACAATAGCATAAACAGCAGAGTATAAAAACACAAGCGATCCAAGACCAGTGAAGGTCTGGAGAGAAGAATCTTTTCAAGTATATAAGCTCGTGGGAAATATATTTAGAAGATCAATAAAAACTAGAAAGGACTTTATCTTAACACAAAGATACTAAAAAAAAAAAAAAATACCTTCGAAGAGCAGCACAAGACTGCATCAGAGTGATGCCAAAGGGAATTGAGAATGGATTCAGTGCCTTCACATTTTAGTAGTTCTACCCCTAGATAGCTCCTGAAAAGAATTTCAACGATTATGCTTCACTTGGCACTCCTTTTTTTTAGACAAAAAATAGTAGTACTGAAGAACTAAAATCAGCTCCGTAGATCTTTCCAGGATGAAATTCTGGGCAAACTTAATCCATATTTCTTGTCATCCTAAAAAATTCCGTGAATTATACTGTTCAACTTAGATTCTACAGCACCACGCCAGAAGTCATGCATAAACAGAGTTTAATATGACACACCTATGGCTACTGCATATCCACTGAGCAAGTGTTTGTGCCTCAGGAGTGCCAGGTGGTGGGCGAAGACCATTTTGGGAACCAAAGTGGGAAGGGGAGAGTGCCAGTGCGACCCTTTGAACAGATGAAATAATACTCCGAACATACTGCCGAGCCATAGTTGCTACACTATCTTGAAGGTGGACTTCAAATGCAAACTGAAATGCTATTGTCATCACAGATTTTGTGCTACCAGAATTACCAAAATTATCACCAGCTGATTTGTTTCCAGTGGTTCCAACTTCAAGAGCAGAAGCAAGATCAAGTGTTCGGTTTGGAGTAGCAGCATCCTACATTATATTTTGGAATAAGAAATCAAAAGCCTTGATCAAACAAGCTGAAAGAGGTAAAAAGCGGAAAAAAAAAACAATCAAATTATGCGTTCAATTAAAGGCTTACCATGCCTGAATCAAGAGGTATGATGCGGAAACCAGAAGGTAAAATGGGTGCATCATCAGAGAAAGATGCATCGATGGGAGCAAAAATGAGTTCCGCACAGGTGCCAACGGCACGCTCGTCTACTCCACTACAAAGCTGGGATAAGTGCAACCACAGAAGTGTTGTCAATTATATAATTGAGATTGGAGAGATGCTCCTAGTTCTAGCTATTCAATCGAACTTCAATTTTTAACTCGTTTCCTCATGTGTCCTGTTCTAGATATTTATAGATTCTTTGGAAAGGAATAGTGACCTTCAATGAGTAATAAGCAGCCAGTTTTCTTCTATACAGTTGTACTTGCATCTAAAAATAGATGATATTACGCTAAAATGATATTAACAAAGGACTTACTTGCAAAAGGAAAATATCCCCAGGAATAGTCATGTCCTCCCTATAGTATCCCATATTTTCAAGCTTAATGACCTCCATAAACTGTTTCATGAGCAAGTGTTATCAACTTTAGAATAAGCACAGGAAAGAGAATCCGAGTGTGAGGCTAAGAATTGGATATTTCTTAACAATCAAAAGGTTATACGTTGGGATGATAAGATGAGAGTGAAAATAGTGGCAGATAACTTGCCTCTTCATTCTCAATTGTGTGCGCCAGTGGAAGAATAACCTGACCACCAAAACCTCCTGCTCGAACCCCCGGCAAGGTACAGGGACCAGCTTTGATGGCAGCGGCTGAGTAAGCATCAATATTGCTATCTGCCCACTCTGATCGATGCTCCCGCAAGAATCTAAGAAGAATTGCTGGAGGGACATTCTACAACAACAAAAGGAAAGCACGAGACTACTAAATCGATTGAATCTGAACGCTTCCTGTAGATGGAAAAGAATGAAAGAAATCCTAGGAGTTGATCTATGAGCGTTCACTTCTTGAGGTTTATGCAAGCCATTTATGAAATTCACCAACAATGGACTTCTTCCATTATAGCTCTCTAGTCATCGGAAATTAAAGACACCAGCAATTGCCCGGGCATATCAGAAAATATTTTCCAAACATAGATACTGAGACAGTAAAATTATGCCTTTTTTTTTTTTGCCGAAGTTAAATTATGCCTTGATATAAAGTTCCAGAAGATGTACTTCCACCTTTTAGTTGAAACTAGACATATTTTTATTAATAGCGTGGCTTGTTATTTGGTATTTTATACTGATGGTGTGAAATTAAATGATGATAAAGACACTTTTCATGCCCTAAATTTAATTAGATATCATGGAATTTCATTTAAGTCAAGTTTTTTTCTGCCTCACTGTTCATCTCAGATCAAAATGAAGTAACAACACAGTTAAGCAGTGTGCAACCGTGCCTACCTGTAACAACATGGATGCTTTTGCGCATAGCACGGAACTGCTCATCGAAAGAAACCCATTGTTATAACCAAGATTTACCCCCATTGTCTTGCTAGGAGATGAATTCACAAGAAGGGTGACATCATCAATGCCATCACTTTCTAACATGGACCAGCCATCGTCTGCAAATCCATTGACAGCTTCATTGAAGCCCCTGCAAGAGGGAAAGACACAGTCAGATCACTATTGTTAAAATATTTGAAGGAAAAATGCACAGGCTAATGACACAAACCTGCTCAAACGCTGACTTAGTGCTCGCAAAGCCGCAGGCCTTCTTCCCCACCCGGTGACATTTGGCTGAGAAACTTCTTGAGAAATTTGTCTCAAATGACGTAAAGCCTGAATGACAATTACAAAGGTTACTGTTTGTGGCGCGTAGAATAGAATCCCATTCCCATCTCCGTCATGCTTTAGCATGTTCGGCATAAGGAAAACCTAATGTCTATATAGGAACAATCTGGCACTCAGCAAAATGTAAAACAATAAGCTTACAAAAGCCATAGGCTTATTGTTTTAACTCATAAACCAGTAAAAGTTGATATGTAATTTAGCTTGGGGGAGAACAGTCATACCGCCATAGCTGTCCTTTGAGCAAGCAACGTTGATGACTCATATAGTGGGCGTAACACTTCAGGTACACTCCAAGGCTGATTTCAAAATGCCTCAATAAGTCAAGTATCGTATGCTATCAAGCAATGGAATTAGTTTCATAGCATTGCAGAGCAGAGGTTTCAAACCTCTAAGTTGACGTGATGAACAATATGGATGATGGATCCACCTCCTTCACAAGGTCTAATCAGATATCCGCTTGGCAGCATGTCTGCTCTCACAAAATGCTGCGCTGTTGGCATAGTGGGACCGTTCTGAGTGTTGTTAAGCGATCTTTCACAGACCTGAAATTTCAAAATCAACCTCCATAAGCGTCAGAGTTAGGAAATGAAGGAAGAGGAGGAAAAAAGGAAGGAAATTCGCGAAAAATTGTAGTTAACTTACCACAAGACTACTATCCTCCAAAACAGAAGTGTAACGCAGCAGCCAGAAGTCACGACCTGGTGCCAAAGTTGTTGGGGCATACAACTAACAAATATAGCAAATGATGAATCAAAATATTGCAATCAGGCTGCTACATATACGCGAAAATGATAATGACAGAGAGCTCATTAGCTAGTACCTGCATGTAAAGCAGTTCAATGGTTCCCCCATTTCCAGTGGGCATGGCATTTAGAACATCCACAGCTCGGCAGTCACGACACCAAGACGGCCGATCTTTGAGGATTTCAGCAACCTGTATACGGCATTGAGATCTTCAATCAATATTCAACGAGGTATGATTTAGTCCTCTCACACAACGACCGTGAAGGAACTTACCCTCGTAGGTTCCAGACCCACAAGGCCGCATGCACGGGCTGCCACTCCAGGGCAACCATGAGAAATAGCAACGATTCCAATGGAATCCGGACCAGGCTGCACACATGCAAACAACAGTTTAAACTGACATATTCATGAACTACAACGCGTGACTCGCCTTTCACAGTGAGTAGAAAAGCGAAAGATCAGGTATATCTGATTAGTGATTAATTATCTGATACGTGTAAAAAGATGGTTTGCACTGACTGATTGATGTTTCACTTAAAAAAAAAAAAGAGGATTTTTTTTCTTTTTTCTCTTTTGTTTTTTTTTGGTGGGGGGAGTGTGGGGACTTTATTAAGAAACAAATAAGAAAACCCGAACCGATGGATGAATAATGTACAGTCCGTGAAAAAACCTGTAACTGCCTACAAGTAACTGAATAATGCATAATCACATGAGGTCAGGTGGGACAAACCCAAAAAATAAAAAAGACTAGTGGGTTGATCATATTTGTCAAGTCGCTTAGAAGGCTAGCAAGGTTATTAAAGTTCTTTATTATAATGCAGATTCATATAGCGACAAAGAATAAAATGTAGTGGTGCTAACAATTGACACATTGAGATAACGACAAGAAAGGAGGGGTTACCTTCATCCCAGGCATTTGGACCCACTCCACGGCAGTTCCCGTGGCCTTCGAAAGAAACTCCGCAAGAGTCTCCTCTGCAATAGACAAAAGTCTATACAGTATACAGACAAAGACGCATCAAAATTCCATTAAGCCATTAATTGAATTCGTCAGGTACAAACACAACACAGGGCCCAACAAGAATGTCAGGACAAGGATTTTCACTACTCACCCAGCTGGGCTGGCGTCCCGTGGTGGATGCTGAGGTGTCAAATGGTGCTGACCGCTCGTCACCACCGACTCGCAACTTGTGTCTGTGGTTGCAAGAGTCGCCTGCTCAGCAAATGAACCGGAACAAACTTGAATTCGTTATGTCAACGTAAATCAGATCAAATTAAAAAGATTGTACCCAAAAGATTTCACTCATAGTGAAAAAAAGGTGAGGAATAAACTGAATTACATTCTGAGTCTGTTGACGGAAAAAGCTGTTCTCGTAAACCAGCTGTGACACCTGTTTCTGCAATCTGTCGTTTTCCTCCATCAGCAGTTTATTCATAGCCGTCAGTTTTCTGTTTACAGCTTGCAGGCGTGAAGCTTCTTTTCGCTGCTTCTCTCTACACCTGAAACAACAAAGCAACAAAGGAAATTACACCCGACATCTATGATCTGTAAGAATTACCAGAAATCGGGAAAATTAAGGAGACATGTTGGAGAGAAACACTGGAACTTGAAGACATCTTTCCAGTGGGTGAAACACGAAATTATTGATATGTAAAATGAAAACTATTATTCCAGTTCAAGCCCAATTTCCTCGGCTATGTAATTTACACGCGCAAATAATTAAAACTGTCCATAAAATCATTGAATACATGAAAGCGAACGAGGAAGGCAAAAAAAAAGGGAATGAAAATCTTCGTTCTATTAAGCCATGTGCGCCAACCCTCTATGATTAATTAAATTCAACCGAACCATTGATTCGATGGAGGCCAAGAGCAGGCAGGGCAGGCAAGATTCATAAGTTACCATTTTCCGATCCTTTTACTAAACTCACTATTGACAAATAATGAAAGAACAAGAACTGGAGAATGAAAGCGAATACTGAAAAAGAAAGCAGGTACCTTCGATTCTGGAACCAAACCTTGATCTGTTTGGGCTCGATGTTAGAGAGAATGGGACACTCTCTGATAAGCTGCTGACGGCGGATGGAACTGGGTTTGGGGCACTCGTGATACAGCCTCTCCAGAGCCTCCACCTGCTCCGGCGTGTACCGCACGTACTTGCCGTTATCCATTCCCAACTTGCTCATATCTTTGCAGGCCGAGCTCACCGCCATCATCCCGTCAAACTTCTCGTCCAATCAAAACTCAGACTCTCAATTTGTAAAAGCGGAGGGAGAGGAGGGAGGGAAGGGGATGAAAAGCTTCTTTGAAAAGAAGAAATTGAGGGAGGTCACTTACCTATATACGGTGCTTTCACAAACGAGAAGATCAAGCAGACATGGGAGGGAATTAATGGAACTGAAAACTGGAAAGAGGCACTCAGAGTTAGTGAGTGACAGGTGAATATGTATAACGTGCGACAGATGTGAATGGGAAACTGTAGTTTCTGTTCTGTAGAAAGGAAAGGGACTGGTGGGAATGTATATCGGGATTCGGATAGAGACGGAGAAGTTGCTTACAGGAGAAACCCCAAGTAGCAGACAGAACAAGCCACCATTTGTTTATTTTCACAATACCATTCCTCTTTCTCCTATCAGTCCCATGCGATAGCCTTCCTTTGATTTGAGCTGTTTTGCCTCCTGCTTTCGCTGTTGCTTTTCTCGCGCTGCCACTTTCCAAATACTCCACCCCTCGATCTTCTTCCCCGCCCCACAAGCACACTCACGCAGTGGCCTGTAATGAAATAATAGGGGGGAATAAAAATGCGAGCCACGCTCCCTTTCAGGACGCGTGGGTTGCAAAGTTTTTGGACATGTGCTGTTCCCATGTACGCTAAAGGGGACACCGTTTCACCTCATTCCTTGTATCCCACTGTCAAAAAAATAAAAAAGATCAGTCGTTGATTGTCTTTCACTCTTCCTCCCAATTTGCCTTTACCCCAACCTCGCCATGATTAGCTTTTTCCCCCCCTTTTGTTGCTTGTCTTGGGCACAAGATGCAGATTTGGTCCTGCTATGATATTTTTGTCATTCCCAGTAGAAAAACAAGTTGATCGGCCAATATATTTCTACATTACTCAAGTGACTTTTGTTTATACAATGTATTATATATATATATATATATGGTAATGGTACTACACAATTTATGAAAGTTTTGAAAGTTTTTAACCGAAAAAAATAAAATTGAAAGTCGTGCATGAAGCATTCTTCTTCTGTGCCATGTTGTGTGACTAGTAAATATGTGCCGATGAAGTTGAAGCTAGGTTGAAGGCGTGTGAAGAAATTTTGGGACATAAGGCACAATTATTTAAGAAGCCCAGTAAATTGTCATTTATTGGATAAAGGGTCTCTCATTTTTCCTTACTCTTCTTTTTCCTTCATCACCATTAAATTTGAGGTTTTCAACAGTTCCAATTTAATTTTTTATAAATTCTTATTATATTATATACATAGATTTATATAAATAAAATATTAGAGCTTTAAATTGATTAGATCAAACTTTTTGCGTGACCTCTAATATCCTAGGTCGAAGTAATTTGGCTGGCAATTGAAGGCACCTTTGTTTAGATCAAATTTTAATAGTTTAAATTTATTTATATATTTTTATGTAAAATTAACATAATAATTTCATAAAATACTAAATCAAAACTGTTGAAAGGTTTGATCTAATAGTGATGAAGGAAAATAAAGGAAATGAAGAGTAAGGGAAAAAGGAAGGCTCCTCTCTCTCTTCGTTTAGCTAACTTTTTCGTATCAATTTTTTAACCTTTTGAATTGCAAAGTTATATATTAAAATTTTGTAATCAAGTAATTTTTATATTTTAGTTTCAATGGATAATATAACTAATCAATTTAATATTTTGTAATATGCATGGTTAATTTTAAATAATATTTAAGCAATTTTAATTTGTTTCTAAAAAATTCATAGTAGCAACCATTGCCTAGTCTTGTCAATAATACTCTATAAGTGATATATGTATTTGAATAATAGTATAAATATAGTTCAATATTTAATTGGAGTGTTAATTTCTCCAGTTAACATTTCTCTCAAGTCTCAATACCTTCAATTCTAAAAATAAATTAAGTTGATCGATATGAGAATGATCATTAAAATTTAGAATTTTTTAAAATTACAAGAAAATTTCAATTCATCCTCATTCAAAGCTTTAAATTCTTAATGAAAATATGTAAATCAACATTAATGCTTATAATGAGAAAAATAATGACCTGTTATACATAGGATGTAGTTAGACATTTTTTGGAGTGTAAGGCAATAGCTTTAATGGTCTAATTAACAGTCTACACAGCCCAGGCTAAGGTTATATATATATTTCTGACAATCACGGCGAAAAATATAATTAAACCATGTACTGAATCTGAATTGCTGCCGTCGGGAGAAATTCTGGAGTCAGGTGCCGGTCTCCAGAAATTAACGTAGTAGTTTCTTAACAACGTAACTATGCCTTGGGAGTCTCCCCTGAAGCCTTTTTTTAAGTCCACGAAATTGATCAACTAACGTTTCCTCGTGATGTTGTCGCTGAGCGCCCATTCTCATCCCATGCTCCTCTAGTCAAGAAATTGATCCGGATGGTCGTACAGATTTGCCTAATAATGGGTTGGTTTTTCAATTTTCTCGTGGATTTTCTCGTTTCACACGAGCGATGAATACAGCATCGTAGCAGATACGTGAATCCTTGGTATTCCAGAGGTGCTGTTTCGTGGTAGACCACGTAAGATTTACATGAATTCAAAGTGGCAACGTCAGGTGGCGCAAAGACGGGAGGTAATTAAGCGGGGAACGAAGGGGATGAAGTGTTGTTTCCGATTTCCTTCCGCTGGAAATGGAACAGTCCTAGCGGTTTGGTCAACACGCTCTTACCAAACAAATATGTTCTCTGCTGCTCACTAACACCTGCTACCATTGAGCGAAGAAAAAATGGTTAGAAAGCGTCAAACATTCCAACTCTGGGTGAAGAAGTGAAATGAACACTATGATATCATTTATACCACATATCTTGTAGTCTATGGGAATGGCCAGCGTGAAGAAGGGATAATGACAATAACTGGTGAAAAAAAAAGAAGAAGAAGAAAGAAAGAAGGCGTTTGTTTGGGCAAATGGAGAGTAAAAAAAAAAAGGGAATAATCTTTTGAAGTTGAAAATGAAAAAGTCAATAAAGACAAGCGTGACAAATAAAACAATGAAGGAGGAGGCATGGCAGACCAGTACGAGTGGGGGGGTTTGATTCTACGGCATCCGAAGAAAAGAGCGAAAGGAAAACGCGCGTTTTGACGTTTCACATGGAAGTGGGAGGACGGCCCCATCGCCGCCGCTGCCTCCTCCTTTTGCCATCTCAAATTGCATGTCAACGCCTGTCAAGCCTTTCTTTCATTTTTCCCCCACTCCTCTGCCAGCCTTCATTTTCATGTGCGCTTCCACACACTTAGTGACTAGTGAGTAATCCTCGCCCCCCTCCACATCAAATGCCACGCACCGGTATGGCCCCCTTAAAAATATTAGCCTGTACTATATATCTCTATATCTTGGCCTAACAAAAAGCATATATCTCTATATAATATAAAGCTTTAACCAATCAAGAGTCATTCACGATGAAGTTTATTTACAAACTTAAAACTGTCTTTTACACCAACTCCTAATCCCCGGATATTCATTTAAGAAAAAAGACGCACGCGATTATTTATTAAAGGAACTGGACAAGCGGCGATGGGTGAAGCTGGGGTATTACGGGCGGGGAGGGTGGGCCTGGGAGCAAATACTGGAGAGTGGACCCCACGCGCATGAGATTGGGGTGGGCCCCTGCTTTGCAGCGTGCGCTTTACTCCTCTCGCCTTCTCCTCATTTTCTATTCTACTTCTACTTTCCTAATCGCTGCATATCCCATAATCATCGTCCCCCGTCAATTTTAGGAGATGGGTCTCTTCATTTTGTTTATTCTTCTGTTTTCTTCGCTTCCCAATCGTAATTATTAATATCATTCCATTATATAAGTCTGTCAGGTGGAGGGAAATGAGGAAAAAAAAAAGAGAGACCCCCACTCCATCACGTCCTTATTAGATTTATTACATTAAATATACTTAAGTCATTTGATTAAATGTTTTCTAAGTTTTATATATCATAATATATTTTTTAATTTTTTAGATGTAAGTTTTTTTTTTGCACTCTAATATTTTTTCTATTACTTTTTTCTCTCTCTGCCTTTTTATTTTTTTTTTTTTGCTTGGTCTTGTACTTTTTTAGTCTCAAAAGCCTTCTTCTCTCTTTCCTTTTCTTTTTTTAACTTCTTGTTGTATTTTTTTTCACCTTTCTTTCTTTTTTTCTTTTCTTTCTTTTTTCTTTTTTTTGGTCTCTAATCGAATGGCTCATGATACCATGTTAGATTTATTATACTAAAGATTTTTAAAGATAATATACTCTATCAAAATAGCTTAAGCCATCTGATTAAATACTTTCTAAGCTTTATATATTATAATATTTTTAATCTTTTAAATGTGAGATTTTTTTTTACACCCTAATATTCCCGTGCTGGTTTTTATTAGACCATGGCCTCATTTAATCCTGTTTTTTTAAAAACAAAGTGTAATATGTAGAGAAGATGCATGAGTTTTGGAGGGAGGGAGGGCCATGCAATTGGGAACCCGGGATATATGGGGAATGGGGCGCGTGTGTAACACATACGGGAAGAGGAAGCTATGGCTTGAATGAAAAGAATGATGATTGGGGGAGGACGCGAGCCCACTATTCACTTGGTGTTGGTGATGTAGCTCCCATACATACATGTATTATAAATTAGAAATTTTTTTTTGGGGGGGGGGGGATTGGGAATGAGGAGAGAATGATGTGAAGCACGAGAAGCAGGAAAGGCATGGGTTGGGGGGCCCCTTCCAAGGAATGCGTGTCGCTATCTTTCGGCGTCTGCTCCCCCCCTTCTCTCTCCTCAATTACTCTCTCTCCATAGAGCTTTCCATTAAGCATGTAAATGCATGTGAATAGGCTAGATAATGCCATTGCTGTTACTTGCTGCTTGTCCGGTTGTCCCCCGGCTTATTTACCCCTTTCCCTCTTTAGTTAGTTCTTTTTGGCATCCTAAACCACTCGTATGGGCCTCCTTCCACACAGCCCATCCCAATGGGTCGTGGGTTGGAGCCCAGCTGAATAGCTTGTAACTTCAACGATTGCTCGAAAGGTCCGCGAGAGTGCCCATGGTCGTACCTGAAACATTTTGATCCGTGAAGAAACTCAATTATTTGCACGGTTATCAACATGGTTGAGCTTTATGGAATGGACAAGAAACGATCCTCTCCGTTTTCCCCCCTTGTTGGGGTAAACAAGAAAGGATGTCTTTCATCTAGGAATTCCTTGCATTGCAATTCAAGGAATTAATCAAAAGGTGCCGTATCATCTTGGCCGAGAAGGACCCATTTTGCTGGGCTGGCAAAGCCTCGCGCTTCTTCTGCTCTCTTCTTCTTCAAGCCTGTCTCCTTGACTGCACTCCCGCTTTGTCTGGCCCCATTTTTACCTTCACACGCTCGCCTTTTTTTTTTTTTTTGCCCTTCTCTCCCCCCTCCCTCATCGGCTCATCCTCGTGATTGATTTATACTAATATCTCATTGCTTCGGTTACTATTATTACTATTCATACTGTGTGTGTTCGGAACTCTTTTATACCTTGCCTCTTGAAACAAGATCTTCTCCGTTAATTTTCGGAAAAGAATATTGCCAACACAATACTCAAACTGCACCGTCTTATGGTCAGTTCCAATGTATGGAAGCCATGTGTTCTCTAGCAACACGCATGCATGCCATTCTGGTTCATGCATGAATATATGATGCATTCATAGGGATCTAATTAACGTAATTTTTTTCCCCTGTAAGCACGGTCCATTCCTAGGTTCAGCTAATATATCTTGTCTTCCCCTATGTCGAATATTTGCTGGCTGCATGAACGGGCATTCAGCATATTGCGTTAGGCAAGCTGGGCCTGGGTGCACGAGGTTAAAAAAAGAGGAGAAAGAACAAGAAAGGGATGCGTTTAATTAATGAGCAAGATCATGCATGTCTTCTTCCATGTTATATTATACAGGGCCAATGATCATGCAGACTAATGCTATGATTAATTGTATAATGGGATGGATAAATTAGACAGGGATGGACGACATTCAGTTTTTTTTTTTTTTTTTGCTGCATTTGGGGGAACGAGCGGCTCTACAGTCTACAGCCAACACACTTTCAAAGTGTGGCTTAAATATTAGTACGCGCTAATTACAGATTTTTGGCTAACCCGGTGACTGTATCTTAATTTGTTAGTCGCTAGCCTTTACGTTTCCGCGACAAACATATATGTATTCCACTAAAACTTGCCCGGCTTCTGAACGGAGTGGAAATTAAACGAGAATAAGAAGAAAGCCTCGTTTTGCTATGAGTATAGATTCGAGTGGAGACGTGTATTTTCTTTTGGATACGGACCTGAAACAGAGCTCCGCACTTGTAGACTGGACAGTGCCATCAATTATTAAGCGGAGGACGTAGCGTTAGATTTTTTATTTTGGCATTGGTGTCAAAGAAATAATTTACTAGAGGGAAATGTTAGGGCTCCCAAGCCAGCATGAAAATAGAGAGAATTTTATTAAAATTCTACACACAAAAAATTAAATGCTATAAAATTTAATAACAAATGAATTGAAAGAATTGATCGACACAATCTTTAATATTGTATTCATCAAACTTCTTAAATCAATTATCAATAAATTTTATAATAATTAATTTTTGTATGTGAAGTTTACATGTGATTCTTTTCTAAAAATAAAGCTGAAAACTAACTGGATGGGTTGCCGCTCCCGGGGAATCACGTGAGGGGGGAGGGGCACGTGGCGTCACGTTACGGCCAGCGAAGCATCCCATAAAAGGGTAAAGGCGAGTAGATGGTGGCCACGTGTCATTGACACTCCTGTCTTGGCCCGCGACACGAGCCACGCACTCACATGCCGCCTGACACTGTCACACTAGCCCACCCCAGTCACGTGCAGCTACGGTCCCACCCCGAAATATCTTATAAAGAAGTATTTAAAAAAAAAAAAAACCGAAACAGATCGAAGAGATATTAACAACGAGGTCTGCAGAATGGAAACCTCCACGCCAAGCAATCACCCCTGTTCACCTTTCTTATAATTGAAACTACATGGTAAAATAGTTTGTTTTCTTTTTTCTTCTTAAAAAAAGAGAGAGTAAAAAGAGAGAAGCATCTTAACCGGAGAGAAGCAATAGATGAACTGATGGTTACAGCAGAAACATCTTATCCATATAGAATAACGGCACAGGGATTGGCAAAATGATGCTCCATTTGACTGAGACTAAACTTGTGAGGAAATGACGCGTGGAAGAATTGCCGACATTCCATTTGAAGGGATAAATATAACCATGTCTGCATCCCCGCCCAAACTCATCACCTGCATCAAACTAGCAGGATACTCTTCTCATATTATTTATAAATTATTTTTAACATAAACATGTTCTATTAATATGAAATTGATACTTAATTTTTTTTAAGTAGGATAAAAAAATTAATAATTATATGAGATTAATTAATCATACATATTAGAGTGAGGAATAAGTCATTTAAATATAAATTGCTACTTGTATCAACATGTTCTATCAATATGAGACTAACATTTAAAATTCTTTTAAATTAAAATTATAAGAAACAAATGTGATAGAAAAATTAACTTGCAGAGTAATTAACCACACACGTTAGAGTGGCAAACAAGTTATTTAAACATAAAATCCTACACATATAAACATGTTAGTCTATCAATATAAAATTAAAACTTGGAATCAAACAAGTTGTTCAAACATATTGTTATTCATTTTGCTTGCATATTGTTATTCATTTCCCTACTAAATAATGCTCATTTGCCAATTGGATTTTTTCATAACACTACTTAAAAAACAAAATGCAGCCTCTGATTATGAATCGCTCCTCAGCTTCCAATTTATAAGATAGTTAATATAATGCATGCAGCGACTCCATTTTAAGGAAATGAACAATGAACAAAATTTAGTAGGAAAATAAACAAAATTTATCCATGATCCAGTCAAATTTTAGTTAATTTCCCATTCCCTTGTTCTTTATCATCTTCCTTAGAATCCTCCATGGTAGATTGAAACAGGAGAGAAATTATTGGAAAAGCGTAGAGATGAGGTGGTCACTATTGTTCTCTTGAATATTGTTCTCATTCTTGGGCAAGGAGCTTCGTTGACGAAGACGCAACTTGCACAACTTGTCTGAAGAAGACGCGTGTTAGTGTCATGGTTGAGCTAACGGATAGTTTTTTCTTTTTTCTTACGATGAGGGGCAATATTATCATCTAATTATAAAATTTAATATTACCTGCCTTGCGATAATATATCAGCAATTCTAAAGTCTTATTTTTTAATATATATGGTCAAAAGGTCTTTGGTGAAAATTTTCCATAAATATAATGATAACTGTATCCCCGCCCACGCTCATCACATGCATCAAACTAGTAGCATACTATATATGCATGAGATTAGGTATATCACCCGTCAGTAGGTCAACTGCATGGAATGAATTATTTTTGGCTGATGAAATAAAATTGGTAGGCATGCATGGAAACGAGAAAAGGGGTAAAGTAGAAGTTGAGAACACGAAGGACGAGGCAATGCAATCAAAATGAGAGGTGGCTTTGGCTTTAATTAAGCCTAACAATACAACAGCTGACTCGCTCGCTTCGGGTCATACCTGGCTGATATGAGGTAAATGCTTGCGACACGTTTCATCCACCCCTCACTCTCTTTAATCACCCTCTTCTATCCATTGTTCTGCGTTGGTCTCTTGATTCATTCTTTCTCATAAACTAGCTAACAAAGCGCGCGCGATTCCCCCTACTCAACCTGGTAGATCGCTTCCTGAGGCGATTCATTGACTGAACCAACCATATTAACCCCTCCTGGCTTCTAACATCCCTCCTCCATTTTTACGCTTCTACCCTTTCACTTCCGCCGCACGCTTTTGCACTCGCAGCTTTCACCAGCTCCGCTGCACTGTCTCATCTACTCCATCATTGCCTCCATCATCATCTCATCCCTTATAAATCAACCTCCATGCATCAAGCGTGCTTCTCTTTCTCCATCCACATAACTGGCAATTTATTTAAAATTTTATGTAATTAATGGGGGAAAAAAAAGCAAACTTAATCTGGTTAATTTTACATGCAGCTTTATTAATTAAAAACATCTGGATGTACTTCATATAGGAACCAGAACAAACTACCATCCTCCGCCTATGCATACGCTATATACAAGCGCAACAATATATTATCGATCTCCAGTAGCATATTGATTCACCGCCCACGCTACTGCAATATTAAATTAAGATCGATTTATCGCCCCTGTTGCTTCCAATGATCTCTCTCCCCTCAACAAGGACGCCACATTCGGATACTTAGCATGCTTATATATAACTTTGTTGTGTCGTTCACCCAATAAAAAACAAAGGTTTACGCTATATCTTGCTCACAGTGGTTTGAAACTGCAAATGAGTAAGGCCAGGCCATGTAAAATACTCCCTCTAAAGTTTTTAAAGTAACATAAGGTTGAAAAATGATGCAAACTCGTCTTTCGATGCATGGGTCGTGAGATTTCTCCCAGTGGAAGTTTTAAAGTCGCGTAGCCCATTAATTATTTTAGGAACAAGAACGGGGATGCGATCAGAAAAGACAAGCAAACCTAACGTGAAAAGCGGCCGGAAAAGAAAAAGGGTGCTAAAGTAACTTCCACCACAATTTCCTTTAGTTTCTTTGAATCCGTTGAAAGCGAGAGTTTATTGATAATTTACGTTCTCAATACACTTTAATACGTTTGGCGGAGAAACTTGTTTATTCCTATTAAAAAGAGAAGGAAAGGAAGCAAGAGGTCCTTGAATTTAGGTGTTGGCTTGTCCCATTCAAACCCAAACGAAGCCTCGTATCCAACTCTCTCTTCATTTCTCCACTAAAAAAACCATAACTTCGTTACACTGAGTCCCCCTGTACTTGGTCACTGCTGGTCTCCTCCATCGCAGCCCCTTCTTGTCGCCAGAGTTACAACCCCGGGACAAAGCGTAGGCATGGAAGCACCCGAGTATTTCCAGGGCAGCTTTTGCTCCCAATTCTCGTCCTCCGATGCCAAGACCGACCATTTCATCGTGGAGGACCTCCTCGACTTCTCCCACGACGACGCTATCATTGCCGACGTCCCTGCCTTCGACTCCCTTCCCACCGATTCCTCCATTCTAATTAACTCCATCGATAGCTCCAATTGCTCTCCCTTCTCCGGCTACGGCCCCGGTTTCACCCCAGACATTCCTTCTCGAAATTTACCCGACCCGTGCTTCTCCACCGACCTCTGCGTCCCGGTACGTTTCAGTCGCACGTCATATTCATTATTTTCTTCCCACGTAAACTACAGGCCCAAGGCATGTCCTGTGGCCAGCAATCAGTATTCTTTTCTTTCTTTCTTTTTTCTCCTTACCAAGAATTTCATTTCCAAAATAATTATTTGAAATTCTCCACTTCTTCTCTCTTTTCTGTTTTTGAATTTTTATGTGTTTGCTGGGCGGAGCGAGTCCAATATCAACATGGCTCCTTACGCGATTAAAAGAGATGCAAGCATTATACAAATAAAACAGAGACAAGAACATAATTTAAAGGAATAAATTACTGATGATGAATGTGAATGACTAAAACGCCGTGGTTGAATATCGAAAACAGAGTAATGATATGGCGGAGCTGGAATGGCTCTCGAACATCGCGGAGGAATCATTCTCGAGCGAGGACCTGCAGAAACTGGAGCTGATATCGGGCATGAAAGCCCGAAACGAAGAATCATCAGAAAGCCGTGAATTGCAGCACCACGAAGAAACCAGCCGGGAAAACGTCATATTCAACCGCCAAGTCTCGGTTCCGGCGAAGGCTCGCAGCAAGAGATCCCGCGGGCCCCCATGCAACTGGACGTCTCGCCTCCTCGTTCTTTCTCCCACATCATCCTCTTCCGAACCCACGTTGTCCTTCCCACCCAGCCAGGAAAGAAGCCGGGAAAGTCGGGAACCAGGAAAAAGGAGAACGGCGATGACGGGGAGGGGCGGAAATGCCTACATTGCGCGACAGATAAGACGCCGCAGTGGAGGACGGGACCGATGGGCCCGAAAACGCTGTGCAATGCTTGTGGGGTGAGGTACAAGTCGGGGAGGTTGGTGCCGGAGTACAGGCCTGCGGCGAGTCCGACGTTCGTGCTGACCAAGCACTCGAACTCGCACCGGAAGGTGCTGGAGCTCCGAAGACAGAAGGAGATGATGGGCGCCCACCAGCAGCAGCAGCGGCAGCTGTTTCTGCGACATCAAAACATGGTGTTCGATGTGTCCAACGGCGACGATTACTCGATCAACCAACAGGTGGGCCCCGATATCAGGCAGCTCATCTAGAAAAAGTGCTAGACTAGGACATCTTCCCTGGACATTCAGGTTAAATTAGCTATCACACGAGAGTTTACTGGACACTTTCCTTATTTCCGGCCCCGTCTAGCATTTAATTAGATTTGCAAGGGATTATTTTTTTCCTTCCCTAAGTAACTTATAACTTTTTTTTTTGCGTTTTTTTTTTCCAGTTTGTGTAGATTGATATAATTAATGTTAATTTCTTTATCATGCATGTCCTCGTTCAGGCCAATCTTGGCATAGTCCGTCGAACTCCAAATTCTACTGATATAGCTTTTTCTTCTTCTTTTTTATACAGTCTATTTCAATTCTCCTATATATAGTTCTAGCTAGAACAGCCATGTGATTTAATTTATGCAAGTGCAGTATATAAGTTGGAGTAATGAACGATATTATTTCATCCGCTTCCCGAAGTTTCTATGGCTCTTCAATTTTTTCACTGACTGCGCGCGGGAGAACTATATAGGAAACACGAATTTATATTATTAGAGATAAGCTGGAATATATAGACACACAAACACGCTCAAACGTACGCATATGGTATCAAGCTATTTCGTGACTAGCTATCAAGTTAATAATTTTTCATTGATGGGAAGTTCTAGCAAAAGAAATGCCTATTCCTAAAATGCCAATTATTTTAGTGAATATATATAAGAATTTACCGTCACATTCTGGAGTAAGTCAGGACGGGCTTTCTGGTTTAGGTAAATGTTAGCGTCACTTATCCTGTCACTTGTGCGCGTGGTAAGAAATCTAATTCAAACAATGACTCAAAGTGTCTACCCGATGAATTATGCTTGTATTAATTATAGCAGCCCATGAAAGACGAGTTATCGGCAAGACTAACACGTACATTTCTCCCTATCCCCAAGGTCAATGGCCCATTATTTTTTAAATTAATCTGTCTTTGGGGGTAAATTAAAGAAAACACGAAGTACATTCTACAAGTTTCTATGAATACAAGATTTCCCAGCCAGTTTTTGGCATCAATGGACGTGTTGGTGTCAAAGGGATTGGAGTCGATCAGGTTTTGAGCTTGCAAGATTAGTGTTGGGAAAACTTAGAAGATGGTGTCATCATGCCATAAGTCAGTACTGCAGCGAGAAGCAGGAAATAGTGGGCATCGTTAAAAAAGGGGAAAATACAGAGAAGGCACAGCAGAGGATTGCAGCTTGCATGGTATAAAAAGGAGTGGACGGTAATCCCAAAATTATCGAAAGAATAAAACAAATAAAATGAACATGGATTTCAGTGAGCGGTGACTGTGATTAGTGGGCGAACAGGAAACAAAGTTACGGGGAATGCTGGTAGAAATGCACCACACACTATATGTTTCGATATTCTTCGTGTACGTGCACTGCACACAGATTTCAATTACGCCTCTTTCCTCTTTTTCAGTTTCGCAAGGCCCGTTCTCCTCTTATTTCTCACTTTTTCAGCTTTTCATTTTTCTTCTGTTTTATACCCCTCGTCGGAAAACATAATAGCCACATATAATCCACGATTTATCGCTGTTCACTCATATATGACACTTACTGTTCATTTCGGTTACCAATTCCACCAAGTCTTGGGCCTATAGCCTTGTTTAATTAATTAATTAATTAATTAATCAATATCAACAAGACCTTGTGAAGTTGATGTTGTGTGGGTTTATCAAATCAATAAATGAAGGCGAACAAAGTAATCCATACTTGCTTGGTCCAGTTAAGTGCATGTGAGCAAGGATAAGGTGTGGAAGAGGGAAGAAATTTGACAATTCCTGATGCATGCACAGACTCGACCACTATAGAAGCCCCCACGTGACTGAAGTTTTGTTAATCCATGCAGGAGAGAGAGATTAACTCCAAATTAAACTAAGACAAAGATTAATTATATTATAATGAGGAGTGCAGCTAAAACCTCATGCCGCATGGATCCACATATAATACTTATAGATTTGTATTTGATTACTATATTTAATACAAGCATTGAGTATATAGGACATTTAAACCATTGAAATTTATATCAATGATTTTGAATTTATATTTTATTTAAAATTAATAAATAAATAAGTTTATTTGAACAGGTGATTTAGATTTCAACAATTTAAATACTACAAGCATTCAGCAATTGTATTAAATATAGTTATCGAATTCAAATCTTAATACTTCCTCCAATTCAGAATATAAAACTTATTGGATGGATGGAAATGTTTTGATCCTGCGCATAAGACTTTAATTCACCTAGCCTCTCGTAATTTTTTTTCCCCTCAACAGTACACTTTAGACCCATTTTCTCCTTTTGCGGTATAATTTAATAATGTGTCTACTTTATCGGTATTCTAGGTAAAATTAGACATATTTTTATATAATCATTGCAAACAACAAACTTCCTAATTTTCTTAACATGCGGGAATTGATCAAATAGGTCGAACATTTAGGATTGAAAGGTGTAAATTATGTGCGTGTATATATACATATGTAAGAATTATCTCAACATATGGATTAAATTTTAAAAGCCGAATCTTTTGTCTTATTCTTTCTCTGGTACCAGAACGATGCATGATGTAAATGGAGAGAGTAGAGGGGGCCGGCGAGGGGGTTAGCGAAGTCTATATTAGTTCAATTCAATCATGTCTGGCCCATTAAAAAAAAGAGTTAGCAACGTTCGTTGAGGATAATAGAATGGTTTTTTCCCAAAAAAGAAAAAAAAAAGAAAAAGGATAGATTAGAGTGTTTATTAATTAATTATTGAATAAATAAAGGGGGAATTATTGGAGTGAGAGAGAAGCCCGATAAGGCCTAGCATAGCGGCGGTCACGTGACGCTCTACGGGGTTTATTTTTTATTTCCCACCGCCCTTTGCTATCCACATACTCAGGAATGGAGTCAAAAAATTTATTAAAGAAAATTGAAATAACAAAATATATATGATAATTAAAAAAAGTTAAAAAATATACTTCCTCTGTTTAAAAATAAAGATATTTTTTAAGAGTTAAATGTTAAAATATGTTAGGCATTTTTAATCTTTTGAGATATAATCATTGTTTTTTAAAAGTATTCTTATTAATGAATGACTTTATATTTGTTGTAGGGTGTTTAATAAAAATAAGTATAAAAAAATAGGGTTAGTTTAAAAGTAGGTATCTACTTTACTGAGAGGTGAGATTTAGTTATAAATGATTTACATTTTTTAACGGAGGAAGTATATATGTGTGTGTATATCACCGATATATATATAAATATTTCAACATATATATATATTTATATTTAATTTTACACATGTATGTGTGTGTATATATATATAAAGCTTTGCTCATTGATTTTTCATAGTATAAAAATTATTAGTTATTATGTCTCTGGTAAATGTGTTAGCAATTTTCTTCTCAACATGAATTATCATTAAATTGATGAAAATTTCATTATCTCTATGAGTATTAAATGATTTAAATATATTATTGAAATTTAAAGGTCTTTTTAATATAATAAGCTATATTACTTGCTCATTGAATTTATTATTTAATTTTTTCAATTGGTAATTGTAATAAACAAATATATCAACACTAATAATGCTCAATTGTTATAAAAGTTTTATGTTAATGAGATCAAGCTATATCAAAGTAAAAACTATTCATACCATAAATTTTAATAGCAAAAGTAATTTTTTTAAGAAGACATCTTCACCAAACCTTTTAACTTTTGGATAAGTGATTTTATGATAGATATCAAACACATAACATTCAATATATTTTGAGATTTTTGTTATAATGTTTAACAAAGTTTGTTAATAATAATTCTCACAATTTTTTCATTAAATATAAAATAAAAGCAAAATAAAATGACATAAATACTTTAAGTGCATGCATAGCATTATCTTATTAAAATGAATAAATTCTATAACAATTATATCTTTAAGTTATTAAAATAGTTTATATATATATATATAAGCCTACATATAAAATTAAAATAAAAATTTCATCCAATATTTTATAAATTCTGTAATGTATTAATTTAGAGAAGTTGAAAATATATAACTTCTATATTTTGCTAAGACAATATTAAAAAGTTAAGGGTACTGTAGCCCCTGTCAGTCTCCCATCTCTCCACATATGGTCACATGCTGCTACAATTACTGCAGTTAAGTAACAATCTATTCGAGCTTAATTCACAATAATCCAATGACGATGATTAATTGACGATATTCCTTCAGGTTTAAATTGGAGAACAATTGGATGAGCGCGTTAGTACCATAGTTTTGGAACTTCATGTGTCACCTGATCCGCGTCAATAGTAACTAAAAAGCGATAATGGTCACCGAAATAAATAAAACGAAAGTTAGCCAGAGGTAACGGATCAGCGGGAGTGTGGTTCGTGTCCCGTACAGCTGGAAGAAAGACGAAGTTAGATTCTGACGCTTCCATCGTGGTCATATATCTTTGACCCAGCCATGCCAGGGATGAAGGATATAGGAGGCCAATAGCACCCCCTCGACAAGTTCCAATTCAATTATTGAGGCCACATGGAATGGCCTCGCACGTTCGTGATGCACTACTCCATCGTAGCAAATCCATAAGAGAGATCCAGAAACATATATCAAAACATGAGCCACTGTCAATCCTTTGCCTGCACACGGTGCTTACAGTCTTCGGTCACTCCTATCTCGAAGCTGCTTCTTCTCATATATGCATTAGCTCTTACCAGCGTTTAGCCACGACGGCAGGCATTTATATGATAGCGACGTATATTCACGAGCAAAGACTTAAAACAATTAAACATACAGAAATGTGAGCTAGCGAAGAGAGTGATGAGATCAAATGCCCTAACTTCTAGAGCAGGCAATGAATATAGTTGCCATTCATGGCTCAACATGTCTCCGGATTCATGATGGCGACGGTAAAGCCTCTTTAGCCATGGCACATGTGAAAATAATTAGTTGTATATGTCTCTAACTGATTAAATTAAGGTAGAAACAAGACTGACAAGCATGTCCAAGTATCCGAATTGTAAACTAGCTAATTGGCTACTGCAGAGTGCAGACCTAGTTTAGCTAAACTGAAACAAGTACCCATCTCTATATAAAAAAGTTTTCTGAAACTTTTTTTATCTTTAAATAAAAGACTGTTGATATTTTTTTTAATAAATAACCATTATATTCTTATTAAACTAGAAAAAAAAAAGTAACTGCTCTTATTAATTTACTTTGAAAAAAGAGGTTTATTTTTTATTTATAATAATCAGAGTCAACATTAAAATGTTGCTGTACTTTTAATTAATAATAATTTTTATTAATTTACATGATTTAATTAAAAATATCTTATATAGATCCCAACATGCATGCTTCGTTTTTAAAAATGAAGTTTTGCAGCTTTATTTATTCGTTTGTCTTGAACATGGAAAAAAAAGAACATCATCAGCCTGATCAGTTGCATTAACGATACACTTAAAAAAAAAACAGTAAAAACGTATCCTTCAAAAAATAAAAATAAAAATTCCTGAGCATAAACCAAAAACTTGGATAGACGCGATCCAAGTTTTCCCGGTCTCTTTTTCATCATTTGGAATATATTGTATCTTTCGATGCCTGTAAGGCCCAGATCAAGTTTCGACATGCATGGCCCAACTAATAAGTTCTAATCAGTAATTACCGTCTTGGATTGGCAGCGGGGACTCAGAAGGTCTAGAAGAGCAAGCCTGCGTGCGAGGTTGCCAAAGAGAAGGGGGGGAAAAAAAACATTGAATCAATCGTCACGCAAAATCAAGGTCTGTCTATGAATGGATTTCAAAAGTGACGGTAACAGTAGCTCCCAAGCCTTACTCTTTCTTGAAATACTGCTTCAATGCATCTTTCTTGCACCCCCGTGCGCGCGCGCGCACACATAGCTAGAGTTAGAAACAACACCGTCATTATTTCAAGAAATAAATACGTTCATGCTTAAATTCTCTTATACTGCGCGCGCATTTATTGATGCTCCCGTTTCTCCTTTTTGTTGAGTTTTTAAGGAGATAACATCAACTACACTTGTTCTTTCATCACACACTGCACACACACACACACGTATGCATGCATGTATATGTATATGTATATTAAAACAAGATTACTTTTCATCTTAATTTGAGCGGAATTTTTCTTTTCTCTTTTTCTTTTTTGATAAAAAGACAACTTTATTTATGATTAAAAACGAATACACTGCATATTTAAAAGTGACCCAATCAAGTGATTGAGTTAGAGGAAAAAAAAACAACAATGCAAGAAAATAGAAAAAGCCACACGACCCGAACAAAACCAACAAGCCAAGAACCGAAAATAACAACCCCAACAAAACGAACAAATTAAAGAGCCCAACACTTCGAAAGCTTGCAACAAGTCAATAATCAGTGAAATTTTTTTAAAAAAGAAAAAAATATACAGAAATTCACAAATATTAACTTTAGAGGATTTAAATCCAGTACTTATATAATCAGTGAAATGTATCGTGACATGTAGTATATATAACTTTATAATTAAAACAGAGACGCAAAGCTGCGTACTTTAATTAAAAAGATGTTGTTATTTATTTATTTATTTTTCAAAAGGATGGTATTACCAATGGAAGGGAGATATTGGGAAGGTGTTGTTGAAATACAAGTAAAATCTAAGAAATAGTACGTCATGACTAATTAACATGAATGGATTGAATATAGCACGTATATAGCAGGAGGTAGTGAATGGTATGTTATAATAAAAAGCAGATGAAAGAAGAATATGGAAGTATTAAATCAGAGGGAGCATTAATGGTGAGCAGCATATAATGGAAGCGGTCAGTTGGTCGAGTAGTTAGCTAACATGTCGTCGGCTCATAATCATGGGTGCCTTCATTGCTCCTTCCATTCGTTGCCTCCAATCCAAATTTCTCCAGATTTTGCGAGCACCATACAGATGTAATACGATATTATGACATTCTTAATTAATCTTGACATCTAACTAAATAATATATTACTGCAATATCGAACATTTATTGACTACATAATGAATCACTTAAGTATATATATTAAATCGCTTAAACATGTATATATAACTCAAAGCACCGTATGTGTCTGCACAAAGCAACCATAAATTTCCAAGAGCGTCCAAGAAAGAAAAAAAAAACAAATAACTGACAGGAGGCTTTTCAGGCAGAACCACAGACCACATGTTAACAAGAGACCTTATACATGAAAAAAAACTAAAAAAAACATTCCATAATCATATTCACCGCTGTTAAGTCTCTTCTTGCATCCGAGAGTTCTTGCATGAGACTATGGGACCGTCAAAGTTTGCAACTATTTAATTAGGAACAAGAGCAAACTCAGACACAAAAATCTGAGCTTGCTCACACATATATCCAACGACATTAATCGTAGACGATTGCATGCTTGGAGCAATCTATCAGAATGCTTAAAGCTAGGGTGGGGTAAAAGTTAGGACTTAGTTGTTTTAGAAGTTACTCTTGTGCCTTATAGCGTGCGGTGCACCACCATTTTACAGCCGAGTATGGTTAACAAGTTAAAATTTAGAAATCCTCGGCCTCACGAAACTACTCCCTTGCCTTCCATCTGTCCTTCACGTGTCCCTCTAAACCACTCAAAGAATCCCAACCACAATATTCCCCCTCCTACATAATTCACCACGATATATTCTTTTCATCCATATCGTATTTCCTTTTCCGTTACCCAATCAAGTAACTGTCCTCGACGACCTTTTCCCTCCAATGGAGTCCGTCGCCTCCAACTCTCCTTCACCGGACCTCCACCCCCACCACCCTCGCTTCAATCCCAACCACCCCATCTCAGACCGGATACTCCGAGCCCTCCGCCACCCCCTCTGCCTTCTCCACCGTTCCAATTCCAATTTCTTCGTGTTGGGTACCACCGGGAATGTCTACACTGTCAACTTATCTTCCACGCCCTTTTGCTCGTGCCCTGACCCCACTACCCCTTGCAAGCACGTTTTATTCGTCTTGATTCGGGTTTTGGGCGTGTCTCTTGACGATGTCTGCCTGCGGCGGAGGACCCTCCGGCCGTGCCAGCTCCACCGTCTTCTGGGCATCCCAACCCTGCCGGAATCACTAGCGGGTGCCACCCTCCGCCAGAGGTTCCACCAGCTGTCCTCTAGCGGAAGAAGCCTGCAGGAAGGGGCTTTGAATCAGATGATAGAAATAGAGGAAGGGTCAACGTGCCCAGTGTGTTTAGAGGATATGGGGAAGAAAGAGAAGGTGGTGGCTTGTGGGACGTGCGAGAATCCTATTCATGAAGAGTGCTTTGTTAGGTGGAAGAGAAGCAGAGGAAAGAGATGGGTGAGGTGTGTGATATGTAGAGCCAAGTGGAGGGACATGAGCGAGCAGGTCAAGTATCTCAATCTCTCCTCCTATGTTATTGGGGAAGGCATGGCCGGGCCTAGCTAGCGGGGTTTTCTAGAGTCTGCAGATCTTCACTGCCAAATAACATTTATTAACTAATTCGTGTGCATGTAAGAATAATCAAAATACAGTTTCGTGAGATGGTTCATCAAAACACTACAATATATGTCTACGTACTGATATATTAATATAAAATGAAAGTAGCGAGTCTCTGAGGACAGGCTATGCTCAGAGGCTACGAAAGCAACGGTTGGATTCTGAACGCCATCATCTGAAAGGAGCATAATCATGCGTGAAATAGGTACTATATATGGTATTGCAGAAGAATTGAAGGAAGTAGCATTTTAATTAATTAGAAGAAGCTGATCGGTGATCATGGACATGGTAAAGTTAGTTAGGTTGTAAATGTTAGGAGTAGTGATTGCTGGTGTTGAAGATAAACTTGACGACGAAAAGACTGAAAGATTTGAAAGCAATGCCTGAAATCTTCAAGAATTAGAAATTTAGTGTATATCTGCATGTGCAGACGAGACGTGCATCCCCTTCTCAGTCAGCTGTTGCAGAAAATTGTAATAGATCTGTTACATACATGCTTGTTATATATGTACACACAAGGGCGTATTATAGCAGCCTCTCTGGAAGTGGGGAATTATTATTCCTCTACAGAAATCATGACCAAAGACTGTTTCATAAGTAATCTTTGTTTTTTTGCAATTCTCTTCCAGATTAACATATGCATAAGTACATTAAGAATTTTATTATTTCTCACCTTTAAAAAATTGATTGTCTGTGCTCTGGCATTATTTATCTGTTAAATGGGTCCTGCATTTATTTTTTTAACATTTTTATTATAAAATATTTAATAGCAGGTCCCACAATTTATTTTTAATATTTTTATAATATAAAAAATATTTCTCTCTCTCCGCCCTTATTCCACCTCTCTTCGCGGATTGCATCTCTGCGTTGCGTTAGTACTGCCAGAGAGAAAGAAGCTGGATACTTGTACTGGTAAAGAGTGGATACAGAATCATTGAAAACAAGAGAGAATAACGAGGTGACCTTCTGGGTGCTTGTACACGGCGGAGATCAGCAAGTCTTCAATGTCGATTTGTAGCATCATTCTGAGCATCTCCGATTATGTGTTTGAGGAGGCTGGCGAGGGAGGGGTTGTGGGAGACATGGGCTCTAGCTGAACTTTGATATGGGACTTGGATGAGCTCCATGGATTGATTGAAGAAGGTGCATCTTTTATCGGCGGGCGAGTTGGGGGCATTGCTTACGTCAGAGTTTGCGGCAGAGGTGAGCTAGATATCGGCGAGCCAGTAATATCTCTCACGAGCCAAGTCCTCTCTCTCCTCTACTTTTTCTCTCCCTCCTTTTGTCCTTCCCTCCTCCCTCTCCATCTCCCTCTCTCTCCTCCAATTTCTTCACAGTGACGAGCCTCTTCATGGTAGCGTCTAAGCATTCTCTTGCTTCAACATAATCCACGGTCAGCTATCATGGCGTGTAGCAAGCGGGGCTGGCAGGAGTTGATTAAGTGAGCGTAATTGCAGCGCGGGTAGGGTGTATGTCGGCATTGTAGTGGCCACGACATTCCTTGGTGCACCATAGCTTGGATTGGCAGTGTAAGATGCCAGCGATGGTCGATCCTCGTATTCTGCAGAACTAGAATAGCTTGTAAAGGCAATGACATGAACGTCCCCATTCGTCTTTTGACCAGCACTAGCACTTTTCTTGCCATAGTTTAGAATCTTATTTGATTATAAGAGTTGCGCTTAAGACTCTGAAGTGAAGCAAAGGGAGGTGGTCCTGAGCATTGCGTGTTTGGCTATTTAGTGTCAGCATTGTTTGCAAGTCACATTCAGTGTAGCGTTAGCTATGCTTGACTAACAGGATGAGTCACGTGACTGCAAGCATGGAAATAAAGAATGTAGAGAAGGAATGGAGGAAAAGGTGAAAAATGTAGAGAGAATGCTGGTGCTGTGGCTAAGATTTAAGGGAAAGAGAGAGAGAGTAGAGGAAGGGAAGGAGAAAGAGGTGGGGGAGAGAGAGGAAGGAGGGAGAAGGTGGCAAGGGGCATCTTTTTAATTATTAAAAAATCTAAAAATATTGGTGGGACCCACAAGATAATATTTTTATAATAAATAAATGCTAAAAAATTTTAACGTCGCCTAACTAATAAAAGAAATTGACAATACAAATAGCGGGGTGAAAAATTAACTAGTCAAGGAAGGAATGTAAGTGATTCATAATTAAATTTAAAATTATTTGTATACTTTATGATTAATTTAAGAATAAAATTAACCTTTAATCCTACATTGCACTTTAAAATTTAAATATCAATCATAAACTTCAGCCCAAATAAATAAAAATACATTTCTCCAATGGATTGGATATTTGTGTGAAGGTTAATTAGGAATTACTCTCTTCAAAATAAAATATAGAGCATTAGTAACTGATTTATGATTTAAAAAATATTAGTTAAAAATTTATTTTTTTAAAAAATTTACATTTTGTAATTTTGTTTTTATTGAATATCTTATATAAGTGTTTTTAATAATAATAATAATAATAATTAAAATTTTAATATTTATTTTAAAAAATAATAAATGAAGTAGGGGTATAGTTATAAAATACATATAAAAATTATTTAATATTTAATATTTTTAATTAAATAAGTTTTTTTAAAAATATATTATATCATGGGACATAGTAAGATATTTTATATCAAATGTAAAACGTCATTTATCAGGGCCGTCTGCCAAAAAGGCAATGATTTACAAAAACTAAAAAGCGTGAAATGGCATTCCTCAATTATTTTTATAAATTATTTTTATTAATTTTATCAATATTAATATAAAAAATATAAAGAATAAAAATATGTAAAGTTTTAAATATATTTTTATATAATAATTTTAAAAAGTAATATTATTTTATTTTTTTTACATAAAGAATATTTTTAAAAATATTTTATAAATATCATATGAAAATCTTATTGTGAAACAAGAGGGAGTAATGATTTGCAAATTATAAAGCGGTGCAGTGCACTCAATGGCGAAAATCTCTGCCGTCCACTTGATCCGACAATAATCATCAAACCATCAACCAATATGACATATTACAAACATATACTTTTTCTTATTTTTATATATAAAAAAACTGTATTATAATTTTAAAAAGTTAATTAATTATAATAATTATATTTAAAAATAAAAAATTAAATTAAAATATTCTATATTAATCAACATAAATATGTACGTATAAATTATTTTTTATTAATATAAATTATGAAGTGTAGTTTTAAAAATATGTAATAAATATTTATTTAAATATAAAATTTTATTTATATAGAAAATAAATAAAAAATAATAGTTTTTTTACGAATAAAAATGAAACAGTGCATACATGTGTGTGTTCCTGACATTTAATTACAAAAAGGTTCTGCAACTATATCTTAGAGAATGGTTGCAACTGGGGATTTGAAGGGATCCCTCCAGATGAACGACTATTCTCAAATGGAGAAATAGAGGCTAAGCAAAAAAGTGTGTTCTGATTTCTGAAAGTAGCGTTCTTTTTACGGGATGCCCAAAAAAGAAAAAGGTACCAAACCAGGCGATCGGCGGGATTCGTGCTATTGAGTATTGACCCAACTAACAGCGCCGCCTTGGCACTTGGCAGCCCGCGTTAAGCAGTCCGTTGGGTCATTTCCCCTCCTTTCCTTACTGTCTTCCTTAAACAGTGACATTTTTGCTACCTCACCGGGACTTTGACTGGGGTTCGGTCCACTCACAAACCCTTCCCAAACCCTTAACCTCCTTCTCCCCCTGCAATGCCCGGCGGAGACGGCGTTTTGGTTCCTGTGCCCACTGAAAACGGAGGCTCAGCAGTGGTTTACCCTCTACACCATGGTCTTAGCCCTCCAATAGCTTGCCTCGCCATCTCCTGGTCTGGAGGCAATTCTCTCCGCGTCTCCGTTTTCAGGCCTCCTTCCGAAGATGAAGCGGGAGGCAAGGTGGTGGAGGTTAAGCTCAGTAATGGAGACCAGGAAATTTCCGGCGCGCAGTGGCGGAGGATTGCATACGGGTCGGTCTCACCATTTGCTCTGCTTCAGAGTCGTCGGAGTTCTTTTTCCTGTTTGTCAAAGCTTTCCAAGAGTCCATCGCCGTATCATTTGGACTGGTAAGGGTTTCGAAGGCATTTTAGTGAGTTTTAGCTGCTGTTTATGGAAAATTAGATACTGAGGCTTCGAGCTTTTCTTCGCGGAGCCTTGGAACATGTTAATTTTACTCGCGAGATTTCAACGTTATTCATTTTAGAAGCTTCTCGTGATACTTTAGGCAAATGGATTAGTTATCAAGTCTGAAGCTTGTGATTCTGCCATTCTAGTTTAATTTTCAAAATCAAGTAATACGAAACCCCTGTTGTTGACCCCAGCATATTGCAAGAAATGCTTCTAATATATACAACATCTCCTGCCATTGGAGAATGCTAATTTAATCACTATTGTTCTGATTAATTTTCACTGTTGTTGAATAAACATTTCAGTAAATTAATGCTTTTGTTTCCGAAAGATCACTTTGCCTTCATTTAGTCCTCCAATGATAAAACCTTTCAATTAGTTCTCTTATATCTAAATATGACGCCTTCCCTTAGGGAAAAGAGAAATTGGTCCCTCCATTAGGCGAAGTTATAGACACTAAACTTGCTAATGATGCATCTTTGGGAGCTTAGATGGCCAATATGAAAATTCGTGGGTTGAGATGTTTGGGAGATTAAATTGAGACGCTTCATCATCGGATCACTAAGAGCAAGTGATCTTTCAGAGGTTAACTCATTAATTTATTCTAACCCCCCCATTTTCCTCAAGCATTTGCACTGATGAACAATATTTTACTTTGTCTTATAACCAGGTGGGAGTATGTAATAGAGTATAGTAAGGACATTAGCTCACTTCTTGGTGGGCGAAAGTTGGCTTCCAGTCCAATAATTGAAGAATCAAACGCAATTCTTAAGGTGCTTATTTTATTTGTTGCCTATAGCTGTGCTGATATCAGATTTTTGGAACTATTTTAATGCAAAGCCAGTTGCTTTTTCTAAATATCCTAGTACTTGTTGTAGAAAGGTGAGGAGCCAACATGCTTGAAAGCAGCATGGGAGATGATGGAAATATTTTATGCAGATAAGCAATCTCAAGCATGGCTGCCTGAAAGACTAGTTGATTGGTTAGCTGTAATGATCTCTTTGATACTCTCGGTTGATTTTATGAACACGTTTTCCTAATCATTTGTTAAAGCTGGTCAAATATGCTGTTTAAGCTAATTGTTGCATTTTGTGGCAGGATTACGACACCCTCTTTTCTAATACGCAAGCAACAATTCATTCCAAGCTTGTTGATTTTCAAAAGGATCTTGTTAATATTCAGGTCTTATTAAATTTGCATGTTCCTTACTTCGTCATTTTGAGATGAAACAAGACTATAATTCTGATATGCACGCATCATGATAGTGACCAAGACATATCGATATATCCCTGAACTTTGTAGGCATCGTTTATTCAATCTTATCTTAAATGCTTGTTACTGAAAATATATGGTGCTTTGTAATCTAGATGTTCTTCGAGTTCCATTTCATGGCTGCCTAGAAATTCTGTAAGCTATGGGAACCTAAGTTATATTATCTTTTTCTTTGGCTGCTAGCTCTTGTTTTAAATGCATTTGCTGTAAGTATGATTTGTATAGTTATTTGATGGTAAGCTTGTTGACTACAGCTGTAAACCAATTATTAGTTTTTTTTAAATTTTAACCTTGAATATGAGGAGCATTCCTTTATTTATGGAGGCAAACTAAGAACTTCATTAGTATCAGATTGACTTTTAGGCTTTATATTTTGGCTACAAAGGTGAAAAATTCACCTGATTATAAAATGGTATGATTCTTTTTTCCCCCTTCAAAAATGGTATGATTCAGGGATTGTATTATTTTCATCCTCTCGGCACTATTTTCATTAGTTTCCTGGTGCACCTTGTCCTTGTAGAGGGAAAAGTTTTAATTAATGCTTGCCTATGCATTTCACACAGTGCGATTGTTTCAAACTTGAATATTTGCTCTTCATTTTTCTCCTGCTAAATCAGGGCATAGTTATTTTAATTGGCTGATTTCATTTAAGGTTGGTTGGCGGAGAGAGTTATGAAGTTGTTTGTGCAGGTGATTGAGGATGATCCTAGATATTGGGAAGTTTTGTCATCCGCACTGGCAGTTGGTTGGCTTGATATTGTGGTTAGTAGAGGCTACTATATTGGTTCCATATTACTGTAGCATCGTTTTTTTTTTCTTGGGGCTAGTGAATTAAGAATTTTATGTCAACTTGATTTCAATTTGTAGGTTAAAATGCTGCGTTTGCATGGATCTTACCAACTAGATCAGCTCAGCAACCGTGAGGTTTGAGTGAAATCTTTAAGAGCATTATATTTGAAATGAAAACATGAATTTGGAAAGTATGGGTTTTCAATTTTTGAGTTCAAATTTGGCTCTCTGGGTAGAAACCCATTCATTATGGCCACATACCGGATGTTCATGTTATATCAGTTTTTCCCTGTGAATCAATTCTTCTGCAACTCCTAATATCCTCAAACAGGTTCTCAGAGTCTGCTGTCTGAACCTTATTAACTTTAGAATCTGAAGCTATTGATACTGCTTCTTTAAGGCTAGTTTCTAAAGTTCAACTTTTGCTTTGTCTTGTTTATATTCTCTTGTGATGCAATAGATAGAGAATGGACTAGTTGAGGCAGTGCAGTTCTTATCTCTAAAATGCCTCGTTTGCGTCCTGAGTCTGCTGTTGGAAAATTAGGTGAATGCTTTAAATCCAAGCCTGAATTTATCAAGGTATATCCTGATTTTTATAATTTCCATGACATACTGTGACATTTCATTTATCACGGTACACATGATATTTTGCATTTTGATATTATAGGCTTGGGAGAAATGGAGGGCACAGATTACAAAGCTTGATTGCAGTGCTTTTTGGATTCAATGTGATAATCATCAAACACGCGAGGGCTTGAAAGGAATGCTTCAAATTATGCTGGGTAACATTGACAGTATCCTTATGGCTACATGTCACTGGATAGAGTTGTATATTTCCCATTTTCTTTACATCAAGCCATTTACAACGGTAAGTTTAATTTGTATGTAGTATCCTCTTGTATCTTTTCATCAGATGGAGCTCTGCATAATTTGTTTCCCCCGTTTTGCTACCAGGGTATGGAAAACATGCTTAGCTTAGCATTGAAATGCATCCAATTGAAACCAGTATCCAACACCCACAAGTTGACAGGACTTTTGATTGGAATTCTTGAAGAAAACACTGAGGTTAGGGATGCACAATTCATTATTTTCTTAAACATTTGGGTCAAGTTCCTGCTTCTTTTTGTTCCATCATTCCCTATTCAGTTTATTGTTTGCTTTCCCCTTGTTTAAATTTCATTGAGCTTTTTGAAATGGTTCAGGTTGTCTTAGCAGAATGTTCTCAAGAATATGGCCCTTGGTGAGCTGCTGAGTTTTTTTCATTTCTTTTTAATTATGCATTGGATGCCTTCCCTTTGATGAAAATGTGGTTTTATATTTATCATGTCTCAATAGGATGGTTGCACATGCAGTAGAATTGTTGAGTGCTGGGAGTGAACAAGCAGAGATTCTTCTATACGAAGAGCGTTATAACTTGGGGGAATCAGCATAGGGGAACTGCATCGACTTATATATGCTCAAGTGTTATCTTCACATTCATTGACTTGGCAAGTGAGTTCTTGTTTCTTGAGAAGGAATATGCATATATTCTGATCAACATATATTATGTTGGAGGATTTTCAATCACCGTTTCCATGGTCATCAAATTTTTTGCACACAGCCACGGGCTTGCATTGGGATTTTGGCATGAGTTTGAGAGAGCAAGAATCAAAGTGAAATCTCATGCATAGGGGTTGTATCTTATAGAGATCCCGATGGCGTCAACAAAATGAAGTCTGAAACTAAGAGCATAATTAAATCCTCCCCACTTCTCGGCAATGGCATTTTGTATATATTGTGAATGTAATGCTGCTCACTTGGTTTAGGGCTCACTTTTGGTATAATTGCAGATAGCACCAATATATCTGACATCATGCATGAAGCAAGGAATGGGCTTGTTGGAGACTTTATTAGACAGACAATCTGTTCGACATAATGAAACATTGCTTAAGGTTGTTATTTCATCTTTATATGATCTACTTCTGCTTCACAAGACTTCCCAAGAATTTTAGTATTTCATGTTTAATGTACTTGTGAGTGCTATATAATTATTATAATCATGCAGAATATAGAGTTGTGTCGTCTGTATGGGCTAAACCATGTCAGTTCAAATATCATGAAGGTACTACACTCTTAATGATATTAACTGTTCTTGCTTATAGTACAAACAACATCTTGCGGGATTTGAGGGAATCCTCAATCCTCATCGCTTTTTTTTAGTTGACTTCAATTGAATACCTCATTAATATTTAGGTTGCTGGAGTACATCATTGGAAGCATGGTAGAAAAGGTGCTGGAGTATATTGGCTTCAGCAAGCCCAAGATGCTAATCGCCTCCATAGGATTGCTCAACAATTATTTGATTCAGTTGGGAAGTCAATCTCTGATGAAAGCTTCAAGGTGATTTTTGACAATAAATTATTAGGTCATCTGTATTTAGCCTTCACTGGGTAATTCAGTTGTAGATTATTTAGATTTCTTATCTGTCTCTATCCTTCATTTTGACAGCAATGGGAAGGTGTAATCGAATTATTGGGCTCTGATTCTAAGAGTGCAGGAGGTCTTGAATTCTTGCGCAAGTATAAGTTTTTCTCATCTTTCTAACTTTTCTATAGCTGTAACCACTGCCACTTTTTTATTGTCATCATTTATCTATGTATCTCAATTCTTGCATTAATGCATTTGGTGCACTACAGGTACAGGGATTTGAAAAGATTTCTTCAGCAGGTAACTAGTGGAAAATCAACTGAAGCTGCTAGGCAAGCTGTTGACTCCCTCATACTGGTATTAGCTACCATATGCACTTCTTTTGTTATTAGTTTCAATCTGGTCTCTGGTTAATGAGAGAGCTGCTTACTGGTTAATGAGAGTGCTGCTTAATAAAGATTTTATGTGGGTAAATTTTTATGCTACATTCAACACACACTGGCGATCTTTCTGACAATAAGAATGCCCTAAGAACATGGAAGTTCTTTGACATGGTATATTGTATTAGAGATTATTATTAGTTTTGGACTTTTAGGTTTTCATTCTGAAATAAGATACGTATCTTTCTATTTTTCAGCTGATGAAGAATCCATCAACCCCTCAACGCTTTTGGCTGCCCATTCTATATGATTCGGTGAGCTTATTTTACTAGTTCATAATATATGCTGATAGTTAGTTGGAACGTATAGAATTCTTTGTAGTCTTTTCTTTAATTGTCACATTGTTTTGGAGTCAATAAAAAACACAGGATGCAAAAGACTGCAACCAGGGAAATAAACTTTTCAACTTAAGTCATCCAGTTAATCAAATCAATTATCCATGTTATGAGAAGTATACTGAGCCATTACTAATGGTTCGAGGCTGACTTTTGTGAGGTGTGAAAATGAGAGGGTGTGAGGAATATAATGTGCGTTTGGGGTCAGAATAGGCAAGCAATCAGTCGGTGATATGTGAGAGAACTTCTAGCCTCCTGAATACTGTGGGGAACTGCTGGGGAACCAGTTACATCTTTTTTGCCCCCGTGTTTCATTGTATCTGGGGCTGTTGTGTATCCACCAGAGCCTTCCGCTACTTTTTCATGTCAGAATAGAGTAGCACTGCTTTATATAGATAATTCCCTGTTCTACATAAATCTGAAAGACTTTTAAACTTTTGATGTGTCATTTTTAATTCATTTGAAGCCTTTTTTCTCTCATGAAGTGTCTTTTTTTTTTTTTGGTTGGTATTTTTACTTGTTTGACATGGACGGTGTTATGATTGCCCTGTTCTCTTTCTACTGGGTGCAGTTGAAGCTGCTTAATTGGCAGGGTTGCCCTCTGCTAAACGTATCTGAGACCAATCTTCTGTTAAATAAACTACAAGAGTCATCTCTGGCAAGGCTACGTCCAGACTTTAAAGAGTCCAGCTTACCGCCTGGGGCACTAAGTTGTGTGAGGCTTGCTCTAGCAACAAATCTTGGACGTGCTATTCTTGATGAATAGGCTGCCCAGAAATTTAAATCAGGTGTGGATGAACACAAGTGCCTTCCTATCACCGATGCTCTTTCAGTGCCTGGTTTTCTCGCGGCATGCAGCATGGGCTTCTAAATCTCAAAGGAGCATACTAACGGCGGCACGAGCATGCTTCATGGGATGTCGTCTCTTGTTAAGTCGCATGTAGTGAGTCCTGTTTGAACTCTCTGATTTTTCAAGAATCGGATGACATCAGCAAAGAATTAATTATGCAGAAACCTTTTAATTTTTTTCGTTTTTAGGGTGGAGGTGAATCCTGCGCGTAAAAATTAAACCACTGTAAAACGAAGGGCATTCTTTATTGATTCTGGGTTTACGTAAGGGTGTAGCGTTTTGTCGTTTTCCCCAGCGTTTGGGATCTGCTAAGGAGATGTCATTTTTAATATTACGATCGTAGGGATTATGCTGGCTGATTGGCCCCAAAAAAAAAAAAAATTGTCCTCTGGCAATATCTTTTTGGGGAAAGCTGATCTCTCAGTTCTTACACTGGCCTCGTGGATGGTTTAAAATATCGGGTGATTTTTGTAAAATAGTTGAGAGGTAAACTTTTTTTTTTTTTTTTTGTTAACTCATCTTTTAATTACTATTGTGGAGAAAAATGTCCCGTTACTTTATACTTACGCCTGTATTGTTTGAATTAGGGTTGCATAAAGGACTGGACGGCACTGGACTTCACCCTAACCCGAAGTCCGGTCTTTTTCATGAAAAAGACTGGGTTAGGCAACCCGTAGTCCAGTCTTGTCCAGTGATAACCCGAAGATTAACAGTACTCACTTTTGCACAGCCCTAGTTCGAATGAAGTGAAAAAGGCATGTGATTGTGTCTCCAACGTGAAATTACATTTAGGCCCAGTCCTGGACCCTAAAACATCCCATCTAGAATCAAATGATTTGCATTGGAGCTTGCATGTTTCTTGCGTGTATAAAATCAGCTTTTGAGCTATCAATAAGGATTTGGTTTAGCAAAAGTAGTTAGTCTTTGTTTTTGTTGAAAGAGGTATTCATGTTTAATGCCTGATGGTAGCTTAAACAAAATTATGTTTAGCAGGAGGATACAAAAAAAGTTTAGAGCCTATGAAAACCGAGAACGGTGTTTTCGGCCGCTTTCTTTCATATGTAAGCCCAAACTGCCTGCGTCTACCATGCTTCATTATATGGCAGTTTATTCAAGCATCATACCTTCCAGACAGCTCCTCCTCCTCCTTGGGGTTTCCAAACACAAATGTTAATTAATTGCATAATCTGAGGCCGGCGAAGTGTTCACAATAAGCTTTGCGGTCAAGTAAGCCGATAGCCAATATTGTATGTGTTTTTGTCAGTCCAATCAGAATATGCAGATCCCCCAATACTGTGTTTTAAATATGGAGTCTAATGACAAAACTAGGCATGTTAGCAAAATATGAGGGGGGGGGGAGAGAGAGAGAGAGAGAGAGAGAGCCAAAAGTAGATATGATCAGCAGAATGTAAATTGAATTTTATATCAGCCAAAGGTAGATATAGTCTGAAGCATGGTAATTGGGTAAACGCCAACCACCTTTCTTTGCCCAATAGAGATTAATTATATCTTCTGGTAATTGGGTATCTTTGGAAAAAGGATTTTTTACAAATACTAATATATTTATATTATTTGTTAAGATTAATTAAAAAATTTTTATATTTTAAAACGGAAAAAGCATTTTCCTTTGTAAATACACAGAGAGGGGGGGATATTTTGGTCACGAAAACAAATATCAATTTGTGTGAAAAGGGAATAAAGAATGTTAAAGCCAGCCTGGGCTGGGGGACCAATGGGCTGGACAGCCCATCAATATCATGGACGAGCTTATCCATGAGTACCAATGAATAAACCACAATAGAAGTCTTGTCATAAAAATGAAATACTGAGCCATGATTTGATGCGAGTTCTAGATTTGATGTTTTGATAACTGGTGAAGGTTGAAATGTCTATGTAAAAGATATATCCATTGTTTTGATCATTTTGTAGAAATACTTTGAGAGAATTATTTTTAAAAATTTGAAAAAAATATTTACAAACAAAGAGTAATAATAAATTTCATTTGAAATAAGTAAGTTCATATTTTTATTTTAACAATACATTTTATTTATGTTGATCCTCATCTATAAAATAACTGTGTTGTTAGGATGTTATTCTCTCGAATATTTTCTAGCCTTGTATTTATAAAAAACGATATTGTATGGCACGTAGCTTCGTTGTTAGAGATTGGGATTGATTGAAGGGGAATCGATGATGATACCTACGTACGAAACAGTAGATCAAAATAATGGTATTTTGGATTGTGCAGGGTGAGGACAAAGCCCACAACACACAATTTTCCTCGAGCTGTCCCAGACACGGCAGCTCCATAATTAATCCTAGTTATTCAATTCTAATATAATACAAGTAAACCAACGTTGTCCTAGGTACGGAAGCCAATTAACACTAACAATGAAGTCTATAATCTGCATTATCAAACCCCTTGAAAGCCTTTATTAGAGGTTACTAAGTCGTGTCACCCTTGCTAATTGATGTATCGAGTTACATGGATCAGTCCACGACGGACTTAATAAAATGATTACCTCCTTCTCGTCTCGATAATAAATGACTGCTCAAAGTAGGACAATCGTGTTCCAGGGGTTGAGATTGAGATCCAGCGTGCCGACAATCAGGTTGTTGAAAAATTATGAAATGATTGGCCTCTGCTTTTGCTTTTAAAACCTTTTTCTCGTGGTTATCTTGTTGAAATTCAAATCTTAAATTGACAAGTCCTTCAGCCGGCCGACTCCTTCTGCATGCGAAAACTCTGATACATTGTTCATTTAGTTTTTTTTTTAAATAAATTGCATTATTTATTAGTTAGAACCAGTGTTTCTCATTTTCCAAATTATATGTATATATATAGAAATATATAGAAAATGTGTCTAGTTTAATTTCACTTGTGTTTGGATTATGAAGTATTTGGGCCAAATCTATGACTCCTCCTTTCAATATTACAAGTACTTTTAATTGAGTTATATCTCTCAATAAATAAATAAATTATTATTAAAATTATATTATCTTTTTATATTTACCTTTACTTTAATAAGACATCTCAATTAAAAAAATTATTAATTACATTACATTTTGAAAAACCTAAAATGCCTTGTAATATTAAATAGAGGGAATATTTAGATAGATAAAATTCATGGATTTAGATTTGATTTAAATTGAGGTGAATTTTATGATCATAATTTTGTAAAATTTTAAATATATATCCATCCTAATCAAGTTATTTCAAATCAATTTAAACTGTCTCAATACAATTTCTGTTCAAGCTACTGCCATTTGACATTTGGCTTTAGAATTTGAAAATTTTTGCACTGCAAACAAATGATTTTAAATAAAAATTTAAATTCATCTTGATCCAAACATAACATTATTTGCATATGTTAAGAGAGATAGCCTAGTGATCAAGGAAGTGTTTTCAATCTGTGCCTCAACTATAAAAGCACGGGGGATTATGAATAGCCTCAGATAAGAAAAAATGCTAGAGGTCAATGCACATTTAATCAATGAGACAAATTAGAGATGATTAATTTTTGTTATTTGGAATGAATCATAAAATTTTCCAAATTAAATGCTGTTGTAATCCGTGATCAACATGTTAAAAAAATCACGACACACTCGTATACTCACGCAATACGATGATTTCTCTAGTGACTGTTATATATAGATGACGAGAATGGCGAGCAAGGATGCATGTCGTATTCACATGCTTGGACATTATCATGTGAGTGTTATATTTCTATATCTTAATTTATATAAACAAGTAAAGTAATATATGCTTACCTGAAGAATCCATGAGCACTTGAGAAAGCTTAATTATCTCGAGTGGAGATAGACGCACAACCCATTGGTCCTCAGAGTCTTCAGAAAATGCAGAGATAATGGAGCAGAAGAAAATGAGTCGTGTGTATGGTGGTTATCGATTGATTAACTTATAAGAATCAGATCGGTAACCGCCTTGTTAAATAATTAAAATAATTATATTACATCATCTCTGACTTAGTCAGTTAAGAGATGAGGAATAACTTATGGTTATTGGATTGTGGGTCAGGCCTTTGCCTATTGGGCTCATTTGTGTGGTCTACCTACCACGGTCCACATAAGATCATTAAGACCAATTTGTTTGAACTTATTAATTAATGTTAATCTATAAATAATATTCCAACAATCTCTCACTTGAATTGCATTAATTAAGCAAGTTGTATAAACAAGCCATAAACAAAATTTAGAAAATGAAACTCCATAAAATCACCAATCTCCCACTTGAATTGCATTAATCAAGCAAGTTGTATAAACAAGCCATAAACAAAATTCAAAAAATGAAACTCCATAAAATCACTAGATCCTATAGGAAACAAGTGATATGATGTCTCATAATCTGAATAAAATACGAAATTTTATTTCAAACACAGTTCAGTAAGATAACAACAAAAATCACTGATTTCTATGGGGAAACAAGTGACATGCATAGCATACTATAACAGAATCATAGAATCCTATGGGGATATAAATGATGTAGACGAATCTAACTGAACTAAACATAACTCAAAGAAGAAAACAACGCCTAAAGAGAAATTGCAACACAAAAGGTTCTCGAACTCTCACTAAACCAAGGCATCAAACTAATGCACAATAACCATACAAGTTACATGATTTTAAAAAACTTCTACAGGTAAGCCCTTGGTCAACAGATCTGCAAGCATTTGTGTGCTAGCAATGTGTACCATATAAGTTTAGGACTTAGTAATTTTCTCTTTCACAAACATAAGTTTGATATCAAAATGCTTTGTACGACTAGAATTTCTATGGTTATTAGTATAGTATACTGCAGATTTGTTATCACAATAAATGGTTAAAAGACGTGATATTAACTCAACTAGGTACATGCCAAATATCAACTTCCTTAGTCATATAGCGTGACATGTAGTCTCAAAACAAACAATGCACTCAGCTTCCATAGATGAAACTGTTATAAGTGTCTATCTCAAACTTTTCCAAGAAACGGCTCCTCCAGACAACATGAAAACATAGCCAGTCATAGATTTATAATCATCCAGATAGGAGGCAAAATCTGAATTTGAAAAGCTAACAATTTCAAGATCTTCTAATCCCTTAAAGTCATAATCAGAATACCCAACAATCTCAAGATAATTTGACCTTCTGTAAGTCAACATATAATTCTTCGTACCTTGAAGATACCTCATAACTTTTTTAGTAGCCTTCCAATGATCCGAACCTAGATCATTTAAGTATTGACCCAACACTCCAATGACAAAGGC